GCTGCTGCTTTTATCCGCATAGTTGAGATGTTGCCTAGTGATCAGAGTTATTACCCAAATATATTACTTTCATTTCTGACCGGTAGAAAACAAATCTTCCTGGATAGATTTGTTTGTTTAATTCATTTTTTGTAATTTGTGTTACAGTCTAGCTGCAGATAATATCTTGAAGCTGTAAAGGGAATGTTATTGATGAAATGATTTGTTCCAAGTGCTGTAGAATCTTCTGGAGTGCAGCTGGATGTTACACTGCTGTAATCACATTGAAGAGATTAGGTTAGAAACTGATTCCAGTTTTGTTGTGACTGGAAACACCAGCGACTGACAATCAGCAGGATTTGGGATTTGCTCTAAGGAAGGTGTTTAACATGAGTATTTTTCTGAAGAGAATTAATGTTGGGAGGCAGGGATTCAATAACAGGCAACTTGATTCCTTGCAGCATGTCAGACTGAACATGGAAATTGGTGCCAGAGGCTCAGGAGTGAGCTGGAAACACTATTCCAGCTTTAATAGTCTCATCCATTCAATGTTCCTAACTTGTATTATAGAAAAAAATATTTCAAAAATGCTACACTTTTAAGAAATACATAAATACTTGATTGTGCAGTGTAAGCAAAGCATTCTATCCTGTTGGTGTATGTTCGCTCACATTAGTTAAATCATGGGCAGTTTAGTGTGTTTTTTAACACTGTACATTTCTGGTAAATGGTCAGATTGGGTTACTGCTGAGAATTGCAGAATGCAGTAGATCCATCAGTGTTTTGGGTTTGGAAGTGTTCATCCATCCCAGAGAAGTTTGGTAGCCTTGATGAGGAATTGGAAACGTAGCAGAGGTAGAGCTGTCCTGTGTATCTACCATCCCCTCTTTGCAAGAATTCCACAGAGCCCCATTGTTCCCACACACCCCTGCCTCCCCCCAGAGGAGGTTTCATTTCCCAGCCGGTTTTTTATACAGTTGCAAGTGGAAGGTCACTGGGATCTGTTTGATACTGTTTTGATACTGCTTTTAACCTGTGTCAGAAATGAAGCTCCCCGGGCTGAGGTGTCCTGAGGGACCCTTGAGCACACTCAGTGCAGGGTCAGTGGTGGCTCTGCAGAGTCCAATCATCCAGGGAGAGGGAGCAGTGAAATACCTGCTCCCAAAACCACCAGAGGTTCCTTCCCAGGAGCCAGGACAGACAGCTCTGAGAGAGGCTGTGGAGAGGCTTTGAAAGGAGAGGGAGGGCAGATGGGACTGAATTAAGCCTCTTAGGGATTAGGTATCTTTAAAAGTAAGTCTGGGGATATTGTTACAGTTGGAAATTTTCAGAACTTTCTCCCAGTGTTCTTGTTATATTACACATTCAGTGTTGGTGTAAGAGTGGAACTCCTAAACTTTATCCATGTCCTCCTGCGAGTGAACACTGACACCACTGACTGCTGTTTAAGATGATTTTCAAGCAGCTGCATTTTTGTCTGAGGCTATAAATCAAAATCAGTTTTTGAAATGAGGAATTGAATGCTAAACAGTGTTAGAGAAATATATTTTTTTTGGTCTTAAAATCTGTGTAGAGCTGTTAATTAAACCTCAGCTGTTCACGGGTGATACTTTAAAATATTTTGGGTTTTTATGTTGCCAGGCGCCCTGAGTTTGTGTTACTGATGGGAGTAGGCCTGGCCGTTGCTGCCTGGGCCAGGTGAGCTCTGTGCTCACGTGCAGTGCCCGACCTTCACTCAGGGCTGTGCAGTTCTTGGTGCAGGTGAAAGGCTGTTGCTGCTTTGGCACAGCGGTGATGGAGCAGCACAAGCAGCTTATATCCAGCACAGCACAATCTCTCACCTGCTCCAGGGCTGACCCTGAGCTGTCTGTGTCTGACTCCCACTGTTCCTTGGAGCTGTGAAGTCCATCTGTTATCCCCAACCAGGACCTTGAAGAGTTGTGACGTACAGGACCAGAGATTGGGACAGCATAGGGCAGGTTAGCTGCCCCATTAAAGTATTAAATGGCATTAAAGCATCAGTCTGATGCAGTTGTAATGGGTGTGTGTTTCTTACACACTTGAAAATACTAAAATTGGAATTGAAACCATCTGAAACGAGTTTGGCCAAGATTTTAACATGTGCTGATGTATCTCTGGCATGTGTTAAAATGTTATTTATAGAGTGGGGGAGAAATTAATGCTGATCGTGAGTAGCTTGTGTAAGTACTTTAATTAAATGTTTGATGTTCCAAGCCTTAGATTTTATTTGTCAGTTTGGAAAGGAAGGCAACTTTGAGACTTTTGAGGTTAGGTGGAGTAGTTCTGAGGGTACAAATAAGCTAGGACCCCAAAAGCTCATGCTGATAATGAAATTATTCTTGTAAGGATGTGCTACTTTTTGTGAGATCTTAGTCTGCTCTTGCTTAAAATTTCTTATTACTTGGGCATTTAAGATGCTGTAAAGCCTTCAAAATTTGAATTAATGGTACAGGGTAAGTACTGCAGCAATGCTGATGTTGTTTTAAAACTAAACTAATATTTTCTTACACAGGTAACTTGTAAAGTGCCAGGTACACGGATTCCTTGGGATGGATGGATGGATGGACAGCAGGCAGGGAGTTACAGCATCTTTCAAATTGCTTAAAATACATTTTCCCCCTCTGAATCCTGTCTTTTTTTGGTAGGCGTTGTTATACTTGCCAAGGGATGTGATATCACGGTTCTTTTTCACTCAAGTGCGTAGCTGTGTATCAAAAAGGGTAGAGAATCCTGTCCAGCTTGCAGAAGTTATTTCTGGAGAGATGAGGCTGACTGGAGGCAGAGGAGGTTGGTTAAACTGGGCAGGTTTAATGTTTGTTTAAGATTTATTTGGAAACATTATTTCTCTCAGTTATTGTTCAGGGATCTTTCGGCTGGTGGCTTAATGCTGGTGTGAAGCATTGGTAAATAAAAACAAATCAGATCAAGTTCTGTTTATTTCAAGCCCAAATAGGGGTGGGTTTTTTGAGTTTTAGTCTGACTAGGATGAGATGTTGGTAAATACTTAAAGTCCTGTTTTAAATTCCACAGGAAGAGTTGCATAGACACAAATTTCTCTATATGAATACACCATTAAAACAGATAATTAATAAAGTATTAATGATCACTTTGTTTAGTTTTTGTCTTGTGTTTCCTCATTAAAAAAGCTCAGAAAGAAGTACCAGGCCTGTGATACTTTGCTTAAAAATGCTGGTTAATGAAATTACTGTATTGTATTATATTATTAGATGGAGAAATTAGGGTTGGATTTATATAACTTTTAAGAGACTGTACTTGAGATGATTGTTTTGTTCTGTTGCATGACAGCATCAAAAATATCTCCTAAAACAATTTTAGTAATGAGTCAGCGAGTGATTTTCTTAGGTTTGTTTTTGGAATATGATAAATTCTAGCTCATATGTTGCTGAATAAAAATGCCTTGGTTATACTGAAAGTATAAACCAAGCCTGAGTCCTGTGCCAGGAGCTGTGAAGGCATTCAGGTACCATTTAGGGATCTGTTGGGTTTGGGTGTTGGATTCTCCCTTGGTGGGCAGCAGTTGGCTGAGAGAAGAGTTTTTGAAGCATTCAATGTTTAACTGTGTTTCACCCTTTGAATCACAGATGTTCCAGTTTGGTTTGACTGTTTCAGTTGTTTGTAGTCTAAACCAGATTACATTACTAGTTTTTTAAAAAACCTGAAGGCCATTAAAATGGGCACACTCTGCCACACGTGAAAGTGGTGTGTGTATAAATCACTTTTGGTGTAAGAAAATGATGGTTTGTAATTGCTGTGGAATTTGGCTTTCAGTTAAGCTTTGAGATTTATGAATGTAGAGGGCTGTGAGTCATGTAAACAGCAAGTTCCATTGGAATAAACCACCTAAAGTCTGGAAAAAAAATCTGTGATTGGGTTATTGTGTGTGCAGTGTGTGGCAGCAGCCTGCACTTCAGAAGAGATGATTTCCCAGATTTTAGGAATTCTTTTCTCTGGCTCAGCTCCCACTCTGGTTTGTTGTGTCTCGATAGAGCCAAAGTAAGGATTTACCACGAGCAAGACTCGACACTGCTGAAAAAGCTTTTCTGGTGGGAGGCTGGAGGAGAGCAGAGAATTGTCCAGAATGGCTCTGGGAGAACACGGAGATTAATTGGAGTGGGGGCTGTGATGTACTGGGCCAGACTGACCTGCTTTTTTGCCAAGAGTGTTGTTTTTCAGTCCTTTGTCTATTTTGTCAGTTTATTCAGCTCCTTGTTTAACTTCTTTCTGTCCTGGTATCTCTGTCCTGAATGTTTGGGTGTTATTCAGTCAATTACAGCTGGAGTGGAAGTTTATAGAAACTTCCAGGTGCTGTGAAATGCCAACAGCTCAGGCCTTTTGTTTGTTGTAAATTAAATTTCTCATTAGTGTAGTTTTCTTTGTGGTCTTGTTAGTTACTTTTTTTTCAGAGAGTATCTAGATGCAAAGTATCTGAAAAGCTGCAGAAAGATAATGTTGGGGAAAGATGTTTTATCTTAGGTTCATTAAGAGTTTCAGGCACAGGTATAACAGAATTGATGAATTTTGTGTTTTCCTACACCTGAGCAGTTTCAGTTCTTTGTGCCATCAGATACACTTAGGAGGAGTCTTGTCCTCAGTTTAGCACAGCTCTGGAGAAGGAATTCTTGGTTTTTTCTCATGTGGTGAGGGGTGGGTTCAGAAGGCAAACCAGCCTTTGCCTGGGGCTTGTATGAACTGATGCAGCTGTACCCCAAACATGGTTTTAAACTGGTCACAGGATGAGGAGCAGTTTGAGATCATCTCCAGTGGGAATTGGAAGGAAAATGCTTTGCTTACAGTTTCAGAGCTTAAAGTTCTTCGCTAAAGATGTAGGAAGGAACCAGGAGGGAGTTGGGATGCATGGTAGAGTTTCTGACTCCCAGAACATGGGTCTTTTTGAATTCTAGTATCCTAATGGATTTTGATATGAATTTATGAATTGTATAAATAGTTCTTTAACAAAGATCCTTCTCTTTTATTTTTAGTATATTTTTGGGGAGTTCAGCCCTGATGAATTTAATCAGTTCTTTGTGACTCCACGATGCTCTGTTGAGGTAAGATCTACTTTAAACTTGTTTTAGAAATAACATTTGAAAGCTCCATGTCTTTTGTGAATTTGAACTACAACAATACAAATATTTGTCATTCACTTGGCTTGCTAATTTACAAACTGAAAATTTTATTCAGTAGTCTTCTTTCCATATGTGGATATTAAGTCAATTTTTAGACATAAATTAATGATTCCACTTTCTGCTTGTCATCTTTCCGAGCTGGACTAGCTGACAGTAGTGGTGAGATGTTGGTGATGAATTTTCCAGCCCTGTACCTCAGTTTTGATGGTTTTTTTAAAGAGGTGGATAGTGAGAACTTTCCCAGCAGTGTTCTTGGTTGTAAGGTGGGCTTCTAAGTCTTGGGTGGCTTTTGAAGCACAGGGATTGTTAATATTTTTGTCAGGTGGAGCACTGCTGACAGAGTTCTGTGCTCACAGAGAAGGCTGTGTGTGAGGTCTGAGAAATGCATTAATAATGAACTAATTAGTGACAGAGAGAACCACAGTGGGGACAGTTGTCTTTGTGTGTTGGAGTTCATTACACACTCACATGGTATTGTAGGCTCTTATTCTCTGTAGTTCTTGGTAGAAAATCATGAAACCATTTTCCTTTATAGGGAGGAGTTTTAGCCCATTGTCCTCATCTCCAGACTTGAAAAATAATTTTCCTCTGGGTCCATTTCCATGTATTTCCTCCAGACATTTCCATTCAGACATTTCGGTCATGCTTCCATCCTGCCCTCTCAACATAAAGGAAACAAACACTTGAGCTGTAGATGGGGAAATCCTTTTGTCACAGTTTACAAACCATTGTTAATGTGACTTACTTTCCTGTAGCTGAATTTTCCAGGGATAATTAGTGTAATAAACTCCTGAACAATGAAAGGGCACAAGGGGAATGGGGTGGGGAGCGAGGGAAGTTCAGAAAGGAAAAAGAGCATTTCATCTTTTTTGGGGGGGAGCTGTGTCTCTGGTCTGTGGAAGCACAAGAGATCTTTAGGTAATTCCTGTTAGCTGTGATGATCCTGCTGTTCTCCCACCATAATTGCAGTCACAGCAGTGGGACATTTTCATCCCATGTAGTGTCACCTGAAGTGCCCCCATCAGCTTTTTCAACACTTACTTTGGGGATGATGAAAATGTCATATCTTGACTTGTGCAAAGCTGTTCTCAAAGTATGAACCTGCAGAACCAGAACCAGTGTGACTTCATTTTCTCAGTGTACCACTTACTGGTTAGCTGTCAAAATAAAGAGCTGTTGAACAAAGTTCCTTAAGTTTGTCCTTGATCTGGTTCACTTCAATGTTTTAATTACCTGGATGATGAAATAAAAATGATGCTTATTAGTTTTACACTAATTGGTGTAAAAAATTGGTCTGAAAAAGGCAGGGTGAAATCCAAGAAGGATGAGCCAGAGATGGTAGTGCTGCAGTGATGTTTGACACACATCGTGCTGGGGACAGCAGCGGGGACAGTCCCCACGTGTGCTGCTGTCCCTCTGAGGTCCCTTAACCACAGACCCAAGGGGGACTCTGGCAAGGGAGTAGTTAAAGCTAAAGGGAAATATAGGTTGGGCATTAGGGAAAAGATTTTTGCAGAAAGAGTGATAAGGTTTTGGAATTGTCTGCCTGGGGAGGTGGTGGAGTCGCCATCCCTGGGTGTGTTTAACAAAGCCTGGATGTGGCACTGGGTGCCAGGGTTTAGGTGAGCTGTTGGGGCTGGGCTGGACTTAATCTTGAAGGTCTCTTCCAGCCTTGTGATTCCGTGTGATTCTGTGGTCTAAAATGTCCCTTTTACATGTGATATTTTTGACACGTGCTCTGTCCCTTACCTGTTAGCTGGGATGGTTCACATGACCATGGAACAAGTCAGCTTTGCAGAGGTGCTGTTGATTAATCTCATAGATTGGGGACCAAGAGGCTGACTACTTTTTAAAAATCTTCTTATTCTCTGAAGGTCTTTGCTTTGGATAAAAACAAAAATTGCAAGGTGTATCATAAACTGTTTGTTATAGACATTTAGAGTAATTTTTTAAACTCTAAGTAAAATTGTATTGAACCTGTGTTCAAAATTAATATGGAGCTTGACCCTTTGATTCTCATTTTTGGCTTGAAAAGATGATACATTAAGATGTATTGAGGTTCATAAATGGATTTACAGCATATGGATTTTTTATATACTTTTGCAGTGGAATTTGGAGTATTTTTCTTGTTGTTTCTGATGCACTTGTGTCTGCAGTGCATTAAAAAGGTGATATGTGAGTATCTGTAGCTTAGGGAATTGAAAACTTCAGTAAAGAAATCTTTTATTTGTTACACCATTGGAGCTATTTAGAGTAGCATTGTAAAGCTGCTCTGTCCCCTCAGTGTCGTGCCTCCCACTGCAGAACCAGTTCCATGATCTCCAGGAGCTGCTGGAATGCAGTGACAGTGGCTGCCAGTTCTGCAGGCACAGGAGAAGCTTTCAGCTGCTCAGGAGGTTTAGGGGCAGGAGAGGGGGGGTTAGGAATTGCCCACCTGTGCTTACACCATGGCAAGGTTTCTGTCAGCCCTGAGTCCATAAACTGATGGCATTGTTTATACAAGAGTTATTCACACTGTGCTGTGGTACTTCATGATCAATGTGTTCAAGGATCCACCTTAGCTGAAATTCCAAGGGCCACCCTGGAGCAGGTTAAGAGTCAAAAGGTTTAATGTGATTTTTGGCTGTGCAAAGGTTTGTTTCATCCTTTCCCAGTTTGGTTTGTCTGCAGCTTTTGTCTAAAAAGAGGATATGTTCCTCATCCTAAAATGGGTTGATGAAGAAAGATGCTGGGAGGTGAATTGTTTGAGAGGCTGGTGAGCCTGTAGTGTGTAACCAAGATAATCTTTATCTCTCAGTACTTGTGGTAATCTGCAAGGACGCCTGGAGCTGCAGTGTGGGATTTGGTAAATATAGCAGCATGAGTTCAAGGCATCCTCTCCGAAAATCAAATCTCAATTATGATGTTATTTTAAAAGGATTTGGATGTTTCATATGAAACTGATATGAAATGTTCATAGATTTGCTTTGCCTTTAAATAAGTTTCATTTCTTTTTTGTACAGCTCCCCCCATACAATGAAACAGTTTCATGTGGTATTAAATCCACAGGTAAGTTTCATGATGGTAAGAAATCAAGATTTTTTTTTTTTTTTTAAACTTTGAGGTTGTGACACTTTCCTGAGATTTACTGTAACCTCTCTTTAAATACAATTGTTACAACTTGCTCAGCACCTACACAGGCATATATTAGGCAGGTTGGATTTTTAAACTTCACTGAATGATAGCTGTGAGAGGTTTTGAAAATCCTGCATTGAACTTCAGCTAATTACAGTGGGCATCTTATTCCTCCTTCACTTTGTTGTTACACAGTCAGAGTCCTGTGGAAACACTGTGGGATGTGGCTGTGAAAATGAGGGGGGCTGAAGAGCCATAGCATGAGTATTTTCTAACAGTTACAGCAAGACTGCTCTGCAAGCAGTGCTCTGGTCTGTGCTCCCTTTGACTCTCGTTTCTGCCTGGCTTGGCTATTTTTCTGGAGAATCCTGGTTTGGTTTTTTTAATCTCTTGATGAAAGTGTGACTTGATGTAAAAATGAATTACAGAGTTCCCCTTTTAAAGCTGTAACGCTCACAGGTCTCCTCTGCCTCAACCCACACCTCTTAAAACCTGACCTTACTTGGAGCTGCAAGAAGTGCACAGGTAGGTGGGAGCTGCCCAGGGGTCCTCACTTTAAATAGTTTGAACCAAACTTCCACAGAATTTTAAGCAGCAGGTAAATTAGTTTTTGGTTCCTTCCCTGGACCAGAGAGCAAGGAAGCTGAGACTTAGACAGATGTATGTGAAAATGACTCCAGATCTCCTTAGAAAATCATGGAAGTATCTGACTGAACATTTCTCAAAAGTGCTCAGAAGAGGACCAAACTACACATTAGTGCTTAAGAACACCTGATCATTGTGCTTAGAGACTTTAGCCTTCCTTTTAAAGATGAACAAGATGGGCAGTCAGAAAGAAGCACAAGTCTCATTTGAGAGCAGATCAGCAGCACTTCTGACAATTCAGGAGTTTCATTTAGTACAGGACCAGTTTTAGGACCCTGAGTAGCTCTAAATAGGAGTTGGAAAGGTTCTTCAAAAAGACCATATGGTGTGAATTGTCTGTTGATGACAGGGGCATCCAGTCATATATTTCTTTGTCTAACTAGATTTAAGTTTTGTTCTTTCAGACTGGGATTTTAATGTTCACAAGCCATACAGAAAGATGGTTTGTACAAATGTCTTTCAGATCATTCCTAGACCTTGAGAGACCCCCTCCCACAGCCCTGAGATTAGGTAATGACAGCAAATTAGGTTTTGCTTGAAAAATGTCTTTAACAAGCTTGCACCGTACTGTGCATGCACATTATCACTGTGATGGCTGCATAGGAAGCTGTGCAAACTAAACTGGAATGCTTGGTTATGCAGAATATTTGTATTTATTTATGATGACACACACTTACCATGTCACCATTCCCCATAGTCTTCATTTTTTTCTGTACTTACATTCAGTGTTTAACTTTATTACAGAATCAGAATATCTGTTAACACCTACTAGGAGTAATGAAATCATGGCTTAAGCTCTAATATGCAGAACTCTGTTCACACTAATTAGTACTGTGCACTCACAGATTTTGGGGCTGTACATAGACTGTCCTTGGAGCATCTGTTAGTGCTTGTTTCAATATGTGTGCCATGTTGTTCATGGCACAGAGATCTGTTTCAGTCCATTCAGAAATAGAGCTGTGAACTAGATTGAAACAAAGATGCCCCGAAGCAAAGTGTAAAGTCAAAACAAATAAGAAAAAAAAATTACCTCTGATTTTTCTCAAATGAACTTGACACAATCTTACAGCAAATGAGCTTTTGCCAGTCATTCCATAGACTACTACTGGTATTATTATTCTAATCCTGCTGTAAGGTACAAAGATTAATTACTGAGCTGTAACTTCCTAATTTGTGTGTTAAATGCTACAACATCAGTTCTGCTCCTGGCAAGGTTTCAGCCTATGATGTTCTGTAAGGGATGTGTTCTATTTTCTGCCCACTAGCCCTGAGTGGGCTCTTGTGATTGTTTAGTGTACAATAAACTGATAAATTCATCAAAACCAGAAAAAAAAGCTCCCTTAGATGATGTTTTTTGCTGGGTTAGCTCTGGGTCACACAAGTGCTGGGAGCTTGCTGGGGACAGAGGAGCAGGACAGGGGTACAGAGGTGACAGCTTTTACCTTGGCCTCTGATAGACTTGACTCGCCCGTGGAGGGAAACCACATTCTTTGTTTTGAAGCAATTACTATTTTCTTTAACTTGGATTTTGGAAAAGAAGTAATCATTAATTATTTGAGCTGGTAGGACTTGAAATGTGCCCAGTAATTCATTTGTTTCAAGGTTGGAGGAATATTGGGTGTTACCAATTGTTGCCTGTGCTTTGTGCTGTTGTAACAAAGGGTAGAAAGAACCATAGACAGATGAACTAATGAGCAATGGTTTTGTTGTGGATTTATATCCCTTAAAGCCCCCAAAACTTTGCATTTGCATTTGGAGCTGTGTGTGCACAGCCAGCTCAGGCTCTGTGGCACTGCCAGCCCTGGAGCAGGAGGTGCTGCCTGAGCTCTCCCAGTGCACATCAGGCACAGCTTCCCCTGCCTGGCTCCAGGCTGCTGATTTTTTAAAAAAGGAACTTCAGCTTTCTCTTCTGGGTGTTGATGGCTCATCAGTGATTGCAGAAGTGTTGGTGAATGGCAGACAGGGTGTTAAAAATGCTTTCTCACAAGGAGAGGGGGGGGGAAAATTAGAAATTTAAAAATTAGAAATTTGAAATTCACTCTCTTGCTAAGATGATATAGAGAAACCAGATGTGTATGGAATTTTTACCCATTTTTATTCTTAAAAAGTCTCCTTTAGTCTGACTGGCAGCAAGATTGAAGTTGATATGTGACCTGTTTGCTTCTCATTTAGTCAGATTAGTAGATCAATGCAGAAAAGCAATTAACATCTTTATAATTTGTTCAGTAAATCATAATATGTTGGTATTGCATGGATAAGTGAGACCTCAACACACATTGTATGTTTGTTACTCTTCATTTGATGTTAAAAAATGCAGATTCTTGTTCTTTTCACATTTTTTAAAGCTAAAATATTTGTTAGCAGATCTTTCTAGAAGATACCCAGAATTGCAAAACTTCTATATAGAAAGTCATATATCAAAATATTCCCTACTAGATTGTTTTCCCAGAGGATTGTTTCCTTAGGTGTGTGGATAACTTCTTTTTTGGGAACTGTTGGTTGCTTTTTGTTGTGTTTAAAAAAAACCCACCTCATTTTCAGTGAGTCTGTGATGTACTTGCAAATACATATTTGTTGTTGTCACGCATAATGCAAGTTGCACAAAATCTTTCAAGTTTAGTGCTGTATCCACTTAATTCCTTTGGAATTAGTGCCTATTGTTGTTTGGTTCTGTCGTAAGTCTTAAAAATTGGAAATGTGTTTGAGCCCCCATCATTGAGGAAACACAAAATGCTAAAATGCAATGTCTTTGAAACAGTAGCGTACATATCCTAAAGACCTGCAGAGCTTTAAAATGCCAGCTTACCTTCAAAATTCCTGAAACTTTCATTAATTTTATATCTTTACTCAGTAGTTACAGAAGTAGTTGTAGCTGAAGTATTTATTGTTTCCAGTAAGCACACATACATTATAATAATAATTCCAGGAAATTGAAGAACTTGGTGACCGAAAATATTTAGTGATACTGCAGCCTGCCATGAGAATATTTAGTTCCAGGGCAAATAAATAAATCAATAAAAGGAAAAGACCTGTTCATAACTTTTCAGTACAGCTCCTATATACAAGATGAATGCTGATTTATATTGAGGAATGTGTTGTATTGTGTGTCATAAAATCCTGGATTCACATTTATCATTACTCTCACATGGTAATGCATTTAATTATGATAAAATTAAAGAACATATAAATGAGCTTGGAGGCTCAAAAGCTTTAATTGTAGTGTTCCATGCAATTAATAAATATATTTTTCAGTTATTAAAGATTATGGTAAATGTTTGGTTATGATAAATCACACCAGAAAAACCAAACCCAGCCTCTCAAAAAGCAAACCTCACATCTGGAAAAGTTAAAATGGGAAAGGCTTGGATTTTGTAACTGTCAGTGGAACAGACTGGCTTGAAAAAAGTGTGGAATTATTATTATTATGGTGTAAGTATTACACCATATCTTATAGGCAATTATCCAGTAATTAATTTAATAGAGATTATTCCTATAGACCTTGGACTTTAATAGTTTTTCTTATGAGGGGAATTTAATTGGGATTATGTGCAGGATTCTGCTGTGATTTGGAAATTACCTAACTCTGGTTAAGAAAACCTGAATCATGCTTTGCTGTCTTTAAGAAAATGGTCTTTTGAAAGTCGTCATGGTTGAGAGTTGAGATTCCTTTTGTTTGGGGGAGCGTACTTTGTTTTCTGAGTTACAGGAAAATAGGGGAGTGTTTTTCTTGCTTTTGTAGCTTTTTGATTCCATGTGATTCTCTAACTGAGATATGCTTTTTATTATCCAGGGGAAGAGTATCAGAGAATTGAATTTGGTGTTAATGAAGTTATCGAGACTCAGTCATCTGTCCTAAATAACACCGACTACAGTATTTCGAGTACTCTGAATCCTCAGGCTCCAGAATTCATTCTCAGCTGTGCACCTGCTCAGAAAACCCCAGACGATGCTCTCAGCGACACAAACTACAACTCCATTGACTGCCAGTTCAGTGACCCCGCCCTGGCTCTGGACAGCGGCTCCAACGCCGAAAACGACGCCTTGGCTGGGGGCCTTGGGCAGAGGGAGCGGAAGAAGAAGAAAAAAAGACCCCCTGGATACTACAGTTACCTGGAAGATGTCCCTGACGGCGTGGCTGCCCCGGAGGCGCTGGTGAACGGCCACGCCTCGGCCGCGGGACTCAACAGCCTGAGCGCGGAGGACACGGAGCTGGCAGGAGACCTCCCCTCCCTGGCCACGCCGAGGACTTGCAGCAGTCCCGCCAGCTCCGTGGACTTCCTGGCCGGAGCTGCGTGTGCCGAGCCCGGCCCCGGCGCCGCAGCCCCCGGCAGGACTGCCGGGCAGCCCGAGGTATGCCGCCTTGCTCATTCTGAACAGTTCTGCCTCCCCTCGGAGGCCGTCAGAGAGAGCCCCCTAAGGACAGCTGTTGTACAGGCTTATGCTGGTACTGATACTACTGAAACTCTTGGCGTTACTAATGGACAAACACTTGAATCCTCTGGTGAGGACACAGCTGCCAATGGGGTAGAATTGCACACTGTGGAAAGCACTGACTCAGACCAAGCTAAGCCTGAGGAAGCTTCACCTACTACTGAGGCAACGGTCCCGCTTGCAGGATCAGTCCCTGTTAATCAGCCTGCAAAGTCGTGGGCTAGTCTTTTTCACAATTCCAAGCCCTCTGCTTCCACATCTGTGGTCTATGTTGAGACTAAGTATACCCCTCCTGCCACATCTCCTCTGGTCCCTGAAAAACAGGTTGAAGTCAAAGAGGGACCTGTTCCAGTTTCAGAGGATCCCGTAGCCATAAAGATTGCAGGTATAGTTAATACACGAGTGGATGTTACACTGCAAGAGTATTAGCTCTGCTTGTAAATAGGAGTGTGGAATATTGATAGAGAACATTCCTCTGGTAATGAGCTGACTGTTCAAACACTGCATGAAGGATGTCATCGGAATTAGCCAGTTTGTATCCCCCTGAGTAAACATTCCAACCAGGCATTGCCATGTCATTATCCCAGATACAGGGAAACTTGCTGCTTGTCAAACAACTTGTCAAACAGTCTGTGGAAGTGATCTGTGGTTTCAAATAGGCTGTGTGCTGTTACAAAAAGGAGAATATCTTAGGTTTGTTCAGAAAACTGTGTTACATTATCCAGTATTTACAATTCTGTAGTATTCCATTACAAGAAGAGTATTACTATATTTTTATCAAAGTGGCTGAAATTCCTGGGCACTAAACAGCATTGGAAGTGTAATGGCTACATTGGTCTTGCTTCAGAAATTTCAATTCAGGAAATATCATATTTACTAATATGCTTCTTGAGGGGTCTGTCCTTCCAATTTACCCATTAGAAACAGTATTGCTTTATCCATAACCAAGGCTAGCTAAGGAGCTGTCCAGAGGGGACATCAGGACAGGGAATGAGTGATACAAAAGTTTTGACTCTTGGTCCTGTCATATTTGTGGTCCTAATGGGAAGTGCTAGAAACTGCAGGAGGCTGGTTGTGCAGATTCAGCCAGCAATGGTGAAGTTCTCACAGCTTGGGTGCATTTTCTGTCACTGACTCACCAGTGTTGGAACCAAAGTAATTATTTTAAATCTGTGAAGTGGTCAGTGTGTGAGATGGCTTTGTGCAGAGTCCTGCTGTTCACGCTGCAAGCTAATTTACAGGTACAATGCTGTTTTGAAAGTGACAGCTTCAGGTCAGGCTTCCACTCTGAACAGAAGCTGACCTGGGGATGATGTTCAGAGTGCCCAGAATTGTGTGCTGCCTCTCCTCCCCTCCTTACTCAGCAATGGTTTCATTACTCAGAACTGTCTGTTGGGAGAAAAGCTGTCAGAATAATTTATATTTCAGTGTATATTCCACTTAGGTGTCACAAACACTCTGTTAAAACAATATATATATATATATATATATAAAAGCAGGTGGTTACAGTCTGTATGAACCCATATGGAGAATGTTGTCTTAAAATCTCAAGCTGTCACTTGGTAATGATTTTTAACTTAAAACTATTTTGTGCCCATCATAAAACTAGGATTGCTTGCCATAAATAGAAAAGGTTTTTTCTCTTGTCCAAGTTGTTCCAGCTGTAAGTTAATTTTTTAGACTTTCACTGTTTCTGTACTATTTTTGCCACCAGGTGGGAGCAGAGCTTTTTATTCACTGTAGTAAAACACAAATGTAACTTCTACCCAGTTTTCTTCTGCACCTTCACTATTAGCTTGCTCTTTGGGCAGAGGAATAATCTTGAGTATAGATAAAAGGAATTCATCTGCTCATTGTAGCTGATTTAGGTAGGAGTTATTGCTGCAATTCCTGTAATTCAGATGCTGCTGGTTTCAGTGTAAGATGCTTACTTGGAGATCTGAATGCCATGTGATCAGTGTTCTGCTCTGTGGAAAAAGGTGTTTTTCTTCATTTTCTATATATGTACTTAAGTGTTCTCTGTCCTGTTTGGAAAACAGGTACCTGAGTGCTTTGTTCATCCACCCACACTCAAAAATGTGTTAGAAGAATTCCAGTTCATGATTTCCAGGCTCTGTTCTGTAAATATTTCATTTCAAATCTCCTGCCTCTGTGATCATCAATGTGTGAGGGTCTGTGTGTTTATCAGGTGTGTTCCTTGTTTTCCCTGTGGCTGAGTTGAGATCCTCCTGCTGGATTTGCTGGGAATTCAGCAGCTTCAGCTCATGCCAGTGGGAATGAAGTTTTGACCACAAGTACCAAGGAGTGCTGGACACAGTTTAACTCTACACCTGAAGTATCTGGAGTCAACAGGCAAAATTTACAAATAAAATCAACAAACAATGTCATGCTGGAGTGCTGGGGCCCTTCTACACAGTTTTTATTTAGGACAGGTGCTCAGCACACGAGAAGTTGCTTTTCCAGGGACAAATCGTTGGTTTGTACTTCAGTTTCAGCAGTTATTACAAGGGAGGTTAATGATTCACAGGCACCCTGAAGATAATTTAATGCTGCTTAATTCAGCCTGCAGAGATCAGTGGTTCCTTTAGCCTCAAAGACAGAAGCTGCATAAGCTAAGGAGATGATCAGGACTAGAAAGTAAATAGAACAGACACATTTCATGTTGATCTTGATGAGAAACAAATGCAGAAGAGGTAATTTTAGCAAGTGTCCAAGATGTATCCGCTGTGCAGGTGCTGCACTTGAGTGTGTAGAAAGGGACAAGTGCAGTAATTATGTACCACAGCCTAATTTAGGTGCTAGGATGAACAAATTAATATCTAAGGGATAGTAAGGTCATAAATTATATTGGTAAAAAAATATGACTCTTAAGGCTTTACTTGCCACATTTCACAGTTGGTTCCCTACCATTATAACCTGGTAATTAATAATGCCGGATTATAATTAATTATAATAATTTATATTGTAATATTCAGTATTGTTAAATATTAAAATTTATTAGAAAGATAAATTATTGTATTTTATATATATATATAAAGTTGGAAATAAGCTAAGGAAATAAGTGTTTGGAAAAATACTAATTCTCTGAGTAGTCTTAAAATTGAAGTGAGAGAAACTGAAACAATTTTCTGAATTGTGTTCTCTTGCAGTGTTTTCACTGTGGGTGATGGAGGTAACAGTGCCCATAAAATCTGTACAGCAGGCAGGATTTCAGATGAATCAAAGAACAGAAACTTTTAAAATCTGACTTAATCTGGAATGATTTTAAATTAGTGAATCCAATAAATGCAAGTATGGAAGGCACCAGAACAGGAACCAAATGAGAGAACAATGTAAAGAACTAGTGCTAGATGCATTAGAGAAAAGGATCTGAAAGTTGTAGGGAATTGATGAGTGTCTTTGGTGCAGCTGAAGAAGACAAAGTTTTTTTTCCTCAGTGTGTGTCAATACCAATTTACATGGAAAACATGGAAAATAATTCTGCTGTTGCTCTTGAGGACTTGATGCAATGGCTGTCTTTGGGCATTCCTTCTGAAGGAAAATTTCATGGTGCAGCAGCAAAAATGGAAATAAGATGTAAAAACCATGTGGGCAAACATGAAATATTCAGAGTTAATTTGTCTCAGATGATATTGTTGGCACAACCATGGTTGTAAATCCAAATTTACAAAACAAATTCATAAAGAAGATGGTGATTCACAGTTCTGCCAAGGCTGGTGATAAAATTAAACTAATTCAGATTTTAAGAAAGGTGTTCCAGTGTTGTACAGCAGATGATTTTATTCTCATTGTAAAGGTAGGTAAATGCTAGAGCAAGGAGTTGTGGAGACATCCAGGGTCTGAGGGTTTTATAAACTTCAGAAATGCAGCCTTTTGTACATTCAAACTGCATTCTTACAGAAATGTTTTTGTTTAGGGTCATCCAGCAGTGTTGTCCTGGGGTTTTTTAGGCATTGTCCAGATTTGAGGAAAGATCAGAGTTACTGAGACAATATTCTCTAAATCAGGGCCTTAAGCCAAGTGTTCAGTTCCTGACTTGTAACCACCTTTATCTCTTCAGCATGGACACCATATCCACGGGGCTTCTCTTGCCTTAAACTCTGGATTTGCTTTGTTAGGAAATCACCTTGTTAAAAAATCTTTGAGAGGTAATTCTAATAACAAAACCCAATGAATGAACTTCAGCAAAATGCTTTCTCTTTACCAACAGAAATACGTAAACATTTCCTCATTTCACTAATCAGTACCCTCCAAAAGAAATAAGTTTTCTGGGTGATAACATGAGCTTTCCAACAGATTTTGAAATTTTTATATTTTCTCATGGTTGTAAGTCTGTTTTTCTTCTGATACACTTGTAAAAGTTCTTTAGTTACTGTGTGTTTGATGTAAGCTGAAAATGTGGTGTTGGATGCAATTGCCGTACACAAACCCAAGTCTTTGTTAAAAGAAGCAAAACTCCCAGGAATTGCACTGGAGCCTGCTCACAAAGCAGCTTTGTGACCACAAGAGGATGCTAAAGGTCCTCTTAATAGCTTTATTGAGCACGAAGCAAAAATAGGGAAGAAAAGAGTTAATGTAAAAAGTTATTGATAGACACAAACAATAGAAACATTTTCCGTTACTTTTATCCTTATTTTCAACAATGATAAATGATGTTAACAGAAATATTGTGTGTCAACACAGTTCAAATGTTGCTGCTCTAACAATACATTCTGAAGTACTTTAGCAGTAATCTAATAACATATTTTAGCCTTCACTAGAAAAGAATCTTATCCTGCATCTGTGCTACCTCATCTTTCATTTTACGTTTCTTTGCTGTCTGCTCTTTCAGGTGGCATGTTCTTTATGCAATAGACAACTGAACTAAACATTTTTTTTTTTTTTTTTTGTCAATTTTGTTTGCTTAGAACTGATGTTATCTGCAGGAAATATGATCTTATAGATTGGGAGATAGCTTGGCAGTAGAAGGATGTGGATTTTGTTTGCAGTTCTGCCATCTCCTCTGCTTACTTACAGCTTTGTACCTCTGCTCTTGTACCTATGTCATGTTATTTTGTCTTTTAGTCCTGTAGTGAACAGCTCAAATTCTTTCAGTTTATAGCACATAAGAGCTTTAGAGCCCCTCATATTTATTATAAAAATAAATAACCCTGGTTGTACACAATTGCTATATTTACTTGCAATTTGTGTTTTGTCTTGTGTACACCTTATTTTTCAAGTTTAAAGTATATGAGCTCCAATATAAACAGTTCTTATTTAGTTTTCTAAATAACAGGTCAGGATTCCTGGAAAAGCTCCCTTTGTTGCTCTTGGTTTCATAACTGGGACAGATTAATGTGCAGTGGTTTCTAAGTTTTCAACTTGGGTTTTGAAAGCAGGAAAGAGTAGGAATTAAGTTATGTAAGGCTGTTATCTCAGATTTTGGAAGTGTTAAATAAAACAGCCTGTTCTGAAGAGCAGAGCACATCAGTCTGTGTGTTTGCACTGAGATGATTTTGTTGTAAGATAGTGGATGGTGAAACTTCTGAACTGAGACTGCTGCATTGGCTTCGTCCCTCTTCAAAGCAGAAGAATGTGGAAAATACTTCATAAAACTGGTGACAAGTGACTCCAGCTAATGGCATTTTATATCTGTGTATGTATCTATGTAGCAATATAAATAAAATATCTGGATTTAGGAAAACAACCGCCCAAATCAATAGGCCTTGCTTTGGAATGACAGTGATCAGTTTTGTATCAGCATCTCCTGATCTGAATCCCGGGATCTTCAGTGGAAGAAAAACGTCTGGTTTGGAATGTGAGCAGTGCGTAAATGGAGTGGAAATCATCTGCTGAAGGTTCTGGGAATCTTGTTCATTGATCTGAATTACTGTGTAATACTGCAGCAGGTATTTGTTTGATGGCCACAAGAGTTTTGTTGATGCTCAATTTACTGTTTCTCATTCTGCAGAAATACTGGAAAATGTAAGACTAATACATAAACCAGTGTCTTTGCAACCCCGGGGGCTGATCAACAAAGGAAACTGGTGCTACATCAATGCTGTATCCTTCCCTGGGAAAAAATTAATGCTCTTAAGTTGATATTTTTATATTATATCTGTCAGAGTTTTTTTGGATTGTTCTGGTAAGTATTTTATAGAAGTGTTTCGTTTTCCTAGATCCTGCTCCTGTGGTTAAAATGTTGTAGTGTAGCAGCCAAAAATCCAGGGGGATTTTGGATCATTGAACCTGGTGTGCAGGGTTCCCCTGCAATCCTGTTTGCAGTTTGTTACCTGTGTCAAAATATTTCAGAACTGTAACTTCTCCTGATTGAAGCCCTTGTCATTTCTAGCAGTGTTTCCCCATGACTCTGTGCATCCATTTAAATGGTTATTTCTCTTTTGCACTTGAAGTAACTGTTCTTACACTTGGCCCTTGTTTTGCAGTTTTAAGTGGATCATTTGGGTTTGTGCTGAGCAGGTTGTCACTGTTGTCTCATCTGTGTAAAGCAGCACTTAATTTAAATTAATCCTTCTACAATCTTACATATGGAAGATGAGCATACTCTTAATGAATTGGATTGTATTTCTCTGCAAAAATAACTTTCACCCTGAGGAGCAGAAAGCACCTCCCCTCCATGGTATATTATGATATTAATAAAAATATTAATAATGGTCTCCCATGGCAGCAAGGCTGACTGCAAATGACACTTGGGATACTTCTAGAGCTGGTACTGCTAGTGAAAAATGTTAACACCAGTTTCAAGACAGATCATGGCAGATCCTAATAAACTATTTCTAGGCCAATGATTGTGCTTTAAATAAAGCTTTTATTGTATATAACCAGTTCTGCACTCATTTGGTTATATACACTATATACCTTGGCTCCCATTTTTTTCATCTTGAAGTTTTACATTGGAATTTATTACTCAGCTTTTGCACACTGTAGGGATCAAATGAATCTCTCTCTTCAGCAGTTGAGATCGATGCCTTATTTTGTCATTTCCCTTTCCCTCCAGTTTTTAGTGCATTTCTTCTGTTCACTGCTCTCACCAAGCTGTGATGTTTTTAGAGTATTATTCTTCCAGCATACTCTGGAGTTTTCCAGGTTGCTCCTGACCCTTTGCAGTGCAGACTGTCTCACATCTCAGTGGGTTTTGCTTTGGTTGCAGGAGTGACTCACACCCATAAGTTTCAGCTGGTTTCTTCAATCCTTCTCAGAAAATGTGTTCCAGATTATCTCCTGCCAATTTTCAAATGGTTAATTCTCTAAAGTCTTTCCTATGAAAGTTCTTTTCCTATGAAAATTCATTTCATCCTGCTTCTGGATGAAATGTTTCCTTACCCATGGATGAAAGCTTTTGCCATGATTAAAATGTCAGTGAAATCACTGCATGTTACAAGATGTTACAAGATGCTGTTGTTTTTTTTTTTTTTTTAATACAATTTCTGTACATTATTGGTTAATATTGTGTTAAAGCTTCATCCTCTTTTCCAGTTAAATTCTTGGATTGATCTACCTCATAAAAATGCAGCTCTGTTTTTTCTATAGTTTTGCATATAATTGAATATTTGATTAATACACAGATGCCATTTTCTGCATATTTCCTTAATGCCACCGCATAGACCCTGCAGGCCTTGGTTGCTTGCCCTCCAATGTATCATTTAATGAAGTCCATTCCAATGTATTCCAAATCGCAGAGGCCGTGCACCTCCACACCAATGCTAGACAGTTTGTAAGTAGCTTGGGAAAAAAGGAATCAAACTCTGGGATCTGGCAAACTCATCCAGAAATACCTAACAATGGCTGTTGGTAGAAGCTGATGTGTGTCCAGAAGTTTTTCATGTGTTTTTGGGTGGCACTTTTATAATGAACTTGGTGTTTTACAAATGCTTGGATGGTCAAGGAAGAGAATTCCTGTTGCCTGGGAGAATCAGTTTTGTGTAGTGTTTAATGTGCAAAAATGAACTGTGAGAGGTGCAAGGACCAGCCCAACACCTGGGTTTCACTGCAGTGATCAGGTGGACTTTTATGTCTGAACTTCACCCAGATTTCTGTGATATTCTTTGATTTTGTTTTGTTTTGGCAGTCAGAATGACAATGTTCTAATTTTATTATTTGTTCTTCTAAGTGTTAAATTGCTGCTCATGTCCAGTTGCTTCCCTTCTGTTTCAGTGTTCGTTTAATGAATGAGTTCACTAATATGCCTGTACCTCCTAAAGCAAAGCAAGGTGAGTGGGAGCAGGGGCACAAAGCAGAAAATGATGGGGAGAAGCCTTTGGGGTAAAGATCTGCATGGGGAGAGGTGTTGCACCTTGATTTTTTCCTTCTGTTTGGTGGACCAAGTGTAGAAGTGCAATAAGAACATTTTTTGTTGAAGGTTCACTTAATTGTGAAGATGCCTTCTAAGAACACGTCCTTTCTAAGAAAATCAGTTGATACTCCCTATTTTTCCTCCACTTCCTCCCTTACATAGTTCCAGCTGTTTGTTTATCAGATTGCTCAATTCTGCTCCTTAAATCCTGAACACACACTGATTTGGAAAAAAATGAGGCCATAACAGGTCCCTTAAGCAGTTGGAGATTGCCTGCAGGAATATTATCCTGGCTTCTGATTCCAGTGGGAAAACTTGAGACATGTCTGATTTCTCCTAATACATATTTAGGCTCAGTGATGATTATGGAGTGATTGATGCAAATAAATGATCTTAAAGGTTTCAGTTGTTTAACCTTAATTTTAAGCCAAGTCTGTTGTATTGCAAACTTGTAGAAACAAGCACATTCCTGAAACTATTCTTTATGTAACACGATAAGGAAATATCAGGAGGACTGGTTGTTCCAGTGATTTCCAAACAGTTCAGACATTTCTGTGGTTTCTTTCTGTGAAACAGATCTTACTGGCTTATGCAACTTATTTTACTTGTAGGTCATTTCCTTGTGTAGTTTTCAAGTACAGTTCTGAGGCCTTATATTGCCATTAGGTGGAACATTTTGTCAGGCTGTTCTTGGAGTTTTTATTCTGCAGTAAGCAAAAGTGATCTGTTAGAAATGCAGATACACAGAAGGTTTAAGGACATGTTCTTTGAGTACAAAAAGAAGGCAAAAATGCAAATAGCACTAAAAGTGTTCTTTTGTGATGGCTGTTGATATTCTTGTTAATCTTCTTAGAACTTTTCCTGACTGTGAGTTTATGCAAGGTGATATGTTTTAAAGCAATAAGAGTTGTGTTTTATAACTTCTGAGCTCAAGACCCCAAAATTACAATTAAACTATTAGTAAAAAAAGTGCTGAACTCCAAAATTAGTGATGTGTGAAAAGACTATTAAGGTATAATGTAAAAAAACCTTTTTATTGATTATTACTTATAGTAATTCTCTTTCACCTTGCAGCTTTAGGTGATAAAATAGTGAGAGACATCCGACCAGGAGCTGCCTTTGAACCAACCTACATTTACAGGCTCTTGACGGTTATAAAGTCAAGTCTGTCAGAAAAGGTGGGACTTCAAATCCTTGACTTGTGCAACTGCATTGCAGGGCAGTCACAGTCCTTAAAACTCTGCAAAGCCAAACCTCAGGCTCTGCTCAAATGCCACTAAAATCAGCTCATTGAGAGCTCATGGTGGTGAGGCTCGACTGTCTTGGGACCTGATTTACAGGAAAATCTTAATTACAGGTTTGGCAGTTTGATATGTCAGAATAATGGAAAAATTACTGTTGGAATGGAACATCTCTTTTTATAATGGAGTTACCAATTGATTTACGTTTAAGAAATGAGCAGTTGTTCATTTTTATGAGGAATTGAGCTAAGACTGATTAAAGGTCAGGTTTAATTTCAATATAAAGAAAAGATAATAATTCAAACCATCCTTTGATTTGGCCTTCACTTGACAGCAACTTTTAATAGTGGCTGTAAAAGAAATGGGGAGAAAAAAAATTCCAACTCACACATTAAATGGAATTTGTATTGAGAAAAATGTAAAATTCTTGTAGCCATTGTGGAGCTGATGCTGCTTAGCACAGTTTGGGTTTAACTGGTTAAAAAAGTTTGTCTTATAATAAAATGTAAACTTTATTTGACATAACTTTAGACTGAGTAATTGCTAAATTAATAGGAGAATGCTGGATTTGTTCAGTGTCGTGAACCTTCTGTTAAGAGAAAACCATGAAAATATCATAGAATTAATTGAAAAAAATATTTTGTTCAGGGCAGGCAAGAGGATGCTGAAGAATACTTGGGATTTATCCTCAATGGACTACATGAAGAAATGCTGACCCTCAAGAAACTTCTCTCTCCACATAATGAAAGTTCGTGGATTTTTTTTTTTTTAATAGCAAACAATTAATTTCAAATACTGTTTTTGTGTGCTGATACCATAATACAGAGTAATGCTTGGAGTGGAGGTTGAGATAGGGACTGAATGCCATGTTTTAGAGGACTGGGACATAAGCAGATAATGTTTTGGTAAAATCTGGACACAGTGAGTCCATTCTGTCCCGTGTATGAATGATCTGAGGAGTTGCTGGGTTTCTGGAAAGGCCTCATGGCTTTGTCAATACTCTGAATGACAGGAAGTCACAGCCCTGCTTCTCCTGAACAACAAAACTCAGTATTACACATTTTCTGAGCCCAGCTGAGCACTCTTTGGGGCTAACTCTAGTTGATCAGTCTTGTTTGTCATTTATAACACCTGCAGTGTCAGTGGTTTTTGACTCCATGGGAGTTCAAAAGTGCATCAGTGTCTTTTTCACTCATCTATAAACCAGCTGTTAAGATTTTTTTTTCTATTTAATACAAACCAACATACTAAATTATATGAAAATTCTTACTGACAAAGCTGGAGGAGAATTTACTTTGAAAGAATTACTAGAATTTGTGTGCAGAGTAAAATGTCATTTTAGTTTATAGAGTCTTTAGCTTGAGCCCCTTTATAAATAAAATCCTGCAAGCCTTAGTCAAGTAAGAATTCAGATCACTAGTTACCCAATTTCTCTTCAGTAGGGTAAATTTTTTGGGATATAAAGTCATACCATATTTTGTTCCTTAGCTGTGTGCAGTTTATAACCTGAATTTGGCACAGGCTGGGAAAATATTTGCTAAGCCTTGGGTTCCCTGTAAAATACCTGTGCAGAAAAGGAGTTGTATTTAATAATGGCATAATTCTGTTGCCAGAATAACACTTCACTTTCTAATTTTCTCCCCCATAAATTTACTACTAAAAATATATCAAACTTTGCTATTTACATACAGTCATCAGTGAGCTGCCTTCTGTTAATACATGGATGTGTCATGCAGAGAGCAAACCTGGAATATGCTTGTTCTTTATTAAATTTTAAAAAAATATATTTTGTTAATTAAAACAACGATGCATAAAAACATTTTATCCTCAAAAAATTATTTGTATTGGGGTTTTTGTTATTTGTATTGGTTTTTTTGCCTTTCAAATCCTTTATCTGGCTGGATGTTTTATGTTTTTTTCCTTGGTCACTTGAAGAAGTGTCGGTGTCCAACGGCCCCGAGGCTCAGAGTGTTCCCAAGGAGGAGGAGCAGGAGGAGCAGGGGGAAGGCAGCGAGGATGAGTGGGAGCAGGTGGGACCCCGCAACAAATCCTCGGTCACTCGCCAGGCTGACTTTGTCCAGACTCCAATCACTGATATTTTTGGTGGTCACATAAGGTACAGTACTTTTTCCTACAAGTTCTTGACTTCCAGTAGTTGGATCTTTCAAAATGTCTTAAATGAGCTCACTGTTTTGAGATCCCAAGCCCTGAATTGCATGTGGAAAAGGAGTTTGGAATATTTATGCTTTGAATATTGTCTTAAGAATTCCAAAGCATTTTAGAGCTGCCTAATTTTTATGACCTCTGGGGGGGTCTTATCTCATGTTATAAATAAGGATACTGAGAGAGAATGAGATTCACAGAGTTGAATCTTGACAGTAAAACAATGAACTAAAACATAAAACTGTGAATTTTAGGTTATTCAGACCCTTCATGCTTCCCAGAGAAAGCTGTGTCTGATAGTAAAGAAATTTTACAGGCAAAAGAAGTCTGGAAAAATGTAAATTGCTACAAGATGTTACTGGAATGAAAAGAATGTGGCATATCACTTCTATGCAGGTCTGATGCCAGACAAAGGCAGAAAGGAGAATCTGAATTTTTTTTGGAAAGGAAACCTCCTGACTTGTTTGGAGACATGTATAATTTAAAATGAAAGCAAAGTAAACACTTGCTAAAAACATACAGCAAAACAAAACTGCTAGACTTGAAGAATTATTTTTAAATTGGAGACAGACACTTAATTGCTGGTGTTTGACTCTCTGTGTTGCCAGATATTGAGTCTAGAAGTGTGAATAATGTGGGCTAGTGCCTTCTGCCTTGGAAATGCTCTAAAATTATTTATTCTTCTGGGTTTTGAGCCAGACAGCTGGTAAATAAAATTATATTTTCCATAGAATTTGGCAGACAGATGTTTGTAGGTATTGATGGAGTCCTGCATCAATGGTTCACATACCCAAGGTGCTGTTAATACCCCAGGTGTATTTACCAGAATTTGTCACAATTGTTTAGATATGATTCCATCAGTTTTTATATTAAAAATACTGAGAAGATGGCAGTTTTCTGTCCACAAAAATTCATACAAAGCAATGGTAATACTGGAAAAAGGGAAAACCTTGCACTGAGCAGCAGAACCACAGGAACCAATCCAACATCTGCTGGCACCACATCCACTTTATTTATCCTTCACACCAGGGCACAACTCACCACAGAAACAGCATCCCCTGGGATGTTGGAAAGGTTCATCCTCAGGGGTGGAGATAGGAAGGACTGAATATAAAACTGCCAGTAGAATTCCACTAATGAAGGCTTCAGAAACTGGAAAAATCCAATGGGAAAAGCAGTGAGGAAAAGATGATTTAAATTGGCATCTTTGGGCTGGGGAAACTTCAGGCTTGGGAGTTTTTAGGCTGTCCTTGAGAGGCTTGAGTCTATTAAATGTCTATTTAGGCTTAATTACTTAAAAACCCCAGCCTATAAAGCCTTTCTAAGCAACATGAGGCTTAAGTGGGAAAGTACAAAGTTTTCCTGGGAATTCTTGCAGTGCTTGAGTAATTTTTCATTGAAAATGATGCATTTTCCCATGTCCATCTGAGATTTGTAATTATTCTAATTAGGGGAATGGTTACAGAGAAATCATAGCCCAGTGAAGGCTTTGCTGTCAAATCAATTTCTGCATATCTTGTGAAGAAAATATCCTGAAAAATTGTACAATATAATTTCTGGTTTTTAAAACAAAGGTGCTGCAAAGGTTCATGCATTCTCTCCCACTAAAGGATATATATTTGCCAATATTAATTAAGCTGCACTGGCTTTGTGTTGGTGCTTCAGGGCTTTGCCTGAGTAAAAAGGGCTCTTTTGATTATCCTGAACATTAAAATTAACCTGCATATTAACATGTCCTACCTGACCTGGAAATATTCCAGCATGGCCAAATGAGTCAGAGCTGTGTTAATTATAATTTTGCTTTCAACATGTAACAACATAATAATTTATATACATGGACAAAGGCTGGATAGAGAAAGTGATGGAAAGAAAATGAATTGCCAGTCCTCAGTGGAGCATAGTTTATATTTCCTATGGCAAGATTTAAGCAAACACTTGACAATCACTATAAAATTGGTCTTAGAGAAGTGACTGAAAAAATGGTGTATTTTTATTGGAGAATAAACACTGGCACTTTGCACTCGTGAAGAGCTGTTGGAAAACTAAACTAGCAAAAAGAGCCAGGAGGTGAATTTTTAAAAAATGGTTATCAAAATTTTCAGTCTTTTTCTTTAAACTTTGGATCCAATAACTTTGCATAAATAAAAGAATTCAGTTACAATGCCATTGAGAATACTCTTAGTAGGTGAAAATCATTTAAATTGGGGTAAGTTGTTAATACTTTATATTTAACCTTTATATTTGTATGTGTTGCCTTGAATTAAATATAAATTGAGTTACTTAAGTAACTCATTCTTCCTTGAAGGATCTGTCTGGTTGAAAATCATTCTTTATTCCGTTTTGATTTCTTTTTTTCTCCACAGATCTGTTGTTTACCAGCAGAGTTCCAAGGAGTCTGCCACGCTGCAGCTTTTCTTCACCCTGCAGCTGGACATCCAGTCGGACAAGATCCGCACCGTGCAGGATGCCTTGGAAAGCTTGGTGGCAAGGGAGTCTGTGCAGGGCTACACCACAAAAACCAAGCAAGAGGTGTGTTCTGGTCACCCCTTCTTCACAGCCAGCTGCTAAACTTTGTATTTGAAAGGGTTTTCATAGAGCTCTGGCTTTACAGAGAGTTGTTGGAGCATGCTCTAACAAAAGGGGTACAAACCTTTCTACAGTGTCCTGGAGCAGTGAGATGTCAGCTCTAAAACAAAGCCAGGCCTGTAAATAGTTGGAGTTTGATTCATGTAATAATTTATTTGGGATATTAATGGAGAATATACTATTCCCCATATTAATATTATAGTAATGTTATCATTACTATTAATAATATAAATATTAATAGGCTGAACTGTGGTAAAGATACATAATATTATGTTCAAGATCATAATTTACCAATTCCTGAGGATTGCCACTTGCTGTTAGTAAAGGAGCAGCTCTTCAGAATAAATACTTTATATTTTACTTATAATGCATTACAATAATAACTGCAGTAGAAAAGTACTTACAAGGAGGAAAAACATGCCTTTGGTTTGGCAGTTTGAGAACTTGTGATGGGGGATAATAATTAAATTTCCCTCACTAAGGCCTTGCCTTGTGTACTGTGGTGGGCACTAAAGGCATCTCTGGTGTGCAGGGATTATCACCTGGGAATTGTAGGTGTTCCTCTGAAATTTGTCTGTAAGTTTTCAAAATCCTCCAAGTGAGAACAGGATTAGATAAAGAAAGGTTCATTTCCCTTGGAAAGCTAAAGATGAATAGCAGAAATTTGTTTACCTTGAATATTGAGAGCATATATTTCTCCAGTTGTTTGCCATATGAAGAAAACATTTGCAAGCTGATTATGATTTACCATGAAGATCTTGTTTTGCTTGCCATTCTTTTTTTTTTGTTTGTTTGGTTTTTTTTTACTGCAAATGGTTTAAAGTTTTTGACTGACAACCCAGTGCTAGGTTGGAAGAAATGAGTTAGGTGCTTCATGATATTTCAGAATTTAGATGGAAATACAGGCACCCACAGTGTCTTCCAAATCTTTTTTCAAAAGAAATTCAAATTGAAATAGTTGTTTTTTTGTATTAAAATTGTAGTAAAAACACTGAACATATTGTCTGTAGAACCTTGGAAAGAGATAATACTTTTCCCCCATGAGTTTCTATTCAGTATATATGTTCTAGCAGAATCAAGCCATTTATTGCAAAATAATATGCTCATGGTTACCAGTAAATAGATTTTTCTCAATTAAAAAATGGCAAAAAACCTTAAGCAGTTATTTTGAGAAATATTTTCATGTCTTCATTTCTAGGAAGGCAAAACAGTTTTTGTTCTACAACTCTGAGCTCGGCTCCTGGTTTCCAGGCTGAAATTTTGTAGATTGTTTGGTTATAATTATATAAAAATCAACATTTAATAGAGAAAAGTTTGGTCATAACTCACATTTTTCTCTTTGAATATACTGAGTTCTCCTTTGAAACAACATTAGGATTGAAGATCCAGTGGGATTAAGTCACAAACGAGCGTTTATCATAAATTAAAACTGCCATAATAACAAATCTGGAGGGTTTGCTGCCAGTGTATTTAAAACTAAATACTTAAATTTAAAATTATTATTAATTTTAGTACTTAAAATTAAATGCTCTCAGGTGGAGATCAGTAGAAGACTCACCTTAGAAAAGCTGCCCCCTGTTCTCGTTTTACACCTCAAACGCTTTGTGTATGAGAAGACTGGAGGATGCCAGAAGCTGATCAAGAATATTGAGTACACTGTTGATCTGGAAATCAGCAAAGGTAAAAGATTTAGGAGCAGAATTCCCCTCTCCTCATGGAAAAGAGAATGTTGGATTTCCTATGAGTGTCTGTGGTTTCATTTTCTCCCACACAAGATTTTGTCCTCATCGTTGTATGAAAATTCGGTCATTTGGGTGAATATTTTATGGGGTTTTTTTATGATGAAAGATCTTAAAGTCTTTGGCACTTCCTAGGCAATGGGTTGGCCAAATGAGAACTTCTTGTGGATTTATAGAGTAAGGATACAGGCAGCTGAGGGCAAATATGGGAAGTGATCCTCTTGGATCTGTGTCCCTGTCTGTTCAAGACTGTTGCCAATATTGGACATTTTTACCACAAATTTAATTCAGAAGTGTCAGATTATTTAATTAATGAGTGGCAGGTGGAAGAAAACTGTTGTTTTATTGAAAATGCAGCCTGAAGGTAGACAATCCAAACTGTAGAGTTTAAACAAGGATCCTTTATTTAACAAGTATCCTAGGAGATACTGACTTTAAATAGTGTGAGATTGGAAATTGTCCAGCATCTGAAGCTTGCCAAAAGAATGTCTTTTGTTTTGAGCTGACAAATGGACTATTAGCCAGCCAGTAGCTCAAATAGGAATAAATAAAATCAGTGTATACTCCTATCTCAACTGAGATCTGGCAGGCATTGCCCTTTTGTTTTACTTAATATTTTATTTTGCAATTTTCTTTTAGGAATGTAAGCATGACTTGGAATCTGAAATTGATTCTGTCATTCATTGACAGATTCAGAATGACAATTGATGTTGTCATTCTGACAGCAGGAATAAAAGGGGAAAAATGGAATAGTCTGATCTTTTACTATGTCTTTTTTTCTTCTCATTTTTGGTGGTATTTTTAAACCTTTCATTAAACCACAATGTTCAGCAAACATGAAAATTCACTCCCTTGATTAACAGTTATTAGAACCATGACCATTCTTTAAAGGCTGCAGAAGAAATTTCAATTAAATGTTCTCCTTTGTGATAACGTTGATTTCTCTGAAAAACAATCGATCTTCTTGATATGGAATATCTAATGTGTGGCTGTTTTTCCTCCTCCAGAGCTACTATCTCCTGGTGTGAAAAGTAAAATTTCAAAAGGCCAAAGAACCTACCGGCTCTTTGCAGGTATTTTATTTGTGTGGTCCCTCTATTGCAAGTGCAGACTCTGCATATGGATTATAGAAACACTGGGTTACATTAAGTGTTTTCTTTTAAACTGCCCTGAAGTAGCTTGTGGGTGTGAAATTCTTGTGTTTAGTGGGGTTTGTTTAGAATTGGGAGATTGTGCTGGAGAAACACTGATTTGGACACGGGCTAGGAGTGCCAGGCCAAGGGGAATGACTTTGCAGTGCCAGAGGGCAGGGTTAGGTGGGATATTGGAAAAAATCCTTCCCTGTGAGTGTGGGGAGCTGCCTGCCATAAGGATAGCATGGGACACAGGCACCTGAAGCCCCTCCTTGGTTTTACAGCCAAATCCCAGGGCGCTGTCCCAGTTTCCTTCACTTTTTCCAGATCTAAAGATGAATTGAGCCATACAAAGCCAAGATGTTCATCCCACCCCTACCTCTGGATGTCATCCCATTGGGGTTGACATGGGCCTTGACTACAGGCAGCTGGAAAATCCCATTTTCCATTTCCCCATGGGCAACCCAGTCCCTGTCACCATCAGAAATACCACCAGGGGAATATCTGGGATGAAGATTTGTCTCCTGGGGCACATGGAGACTTTCTTCCCTGTGAGGTGGGGAGACCCTGGCACAGATTCCCAGAGAAGCTGAAAGGGTCCAAGGCCAGATTGCACCGGGCTTGGAGCAACCTGGGACAGTGCCAGGTGTCCTGTGGCAGGGGTGGGATGGGATGACAATCCCAGAGCATTCCATGATTCTGTGTCTGTCCCACCTATCGATGTATGCAGATTGAGCTATATAGATGAGGGAGCTCCATGCTCCCTTGGCCTTGATCTGGGGGTGTCCCAAGGCTCATGGAACACGCCGAGCTTTCATCTGCCATTCCATGACCCGCACATCCCAAACCCAATGAAACCCTTTTTTTTTTTTTTTTTTTGTCCCCTTGCAACTGTGGGATAGAGTGATAAAGGAAGCTGCCGTTTGTGCACAACATGGTTTGTGTTGACTTTTGACTTTGCAGAATGAAGTCGCTCGGTTGGAAGCCTCGTGAATCACAAAAAAATACTAAAAAAGAAATAAAGTTCATCCGAGTAAATGCTGAATCCTAAGATAATAAAAAAGGGGATTTGCGTTTAATTCCCACTTTCTAATTGCGTAGTAGAAGAAAACCCTGCACCAGCAACAGAACTTGTAGATTTCTGTGAAAATGTTTTATCTTTACTTCAGTAAAAAAAGAAAAAAAATTAAAAAAAAAAATAAAAAGCTCTCTCTGCTTCCCCAATAGTTTTTTGATAAGTGGTAAAATATGAGCCGATGTGTATGAGATGGAAATGGTCCTTTGTGCTTCAAAACATGTACAAACTGCAGAGTTGCTGGTTCCTGATAGGAAGACACATTTTAATAATTGTGCGATGAGAAACTGCTTAAGTACACATTGCAGATCAAATATTTGGAGTTAAGATGTTAGTCTATATAGATGGGTGATTGTAACTTTATTGCTATTAAGAAATTTCAAACTGCATTTATGCTTCTGTGTACATGAAATTAAGAAAATGGGCAAAATAATTAAGATTGATATTTCTTTAAGTCTGCTTTGTTTAATTTTGCTGTCTGCTCTCCTATAATGTTGAGTTCCTAATTGTACACAGTTTAGTGATACCTAGAAGTATAAAGTTGTCGCCCATCAATAAAAGTCACAAAGTTGGTTTAAGGTGTGTGTGTGTGTGTGGGTTTTGTTTTTCCTCAGGTGTGAATCCTGCCCTTGGAAACTCCAAAGGTTTCTGTGTAGCACTTCTCAAGGTGTAGGGAACCTTCCCTAAATCAAGTGGAGATGGTTTTTCTTTGCTTTTGAAATTTTTTGAAACTTCAGAAGTGTTTCTGTTTTGCATTCAGGTAGAACTGAACTTGGGAGGGGAGAGGGAAAGGGATGTGGTGGTCCAGGGCTGAGCACTGAGCAGCCAGCCAGAGGGGATGGAATTCCTTCTGTGTCCTCCTGGAAACTCCTGCACTGTTTCTGCAGCAGATGATGTTTTGTTTGTCTCTTCTTCAGCCAGCTGACATTGCCTTGGAGAACTTCTGGTAAAAATATTTCCTTGATCAGCTTCCTGTTGCTTTCTCTAAAAAACTCCTATAGATTATTTAATTCTTTGCTGATAGTGGTGTTATGGCCTTATTTCATCATGGGATGGTGGAAGCTCCCTGGCTTGTCCTGACTCTCCTGCCTGTCCCACAGGAAGGAGTTTCCTGCCCAGAGCTCCTGCTGTAGGGAGGAGCATCCCAACCCCATGGCTCTTTGGGCTGGTCCTGCTCTGCTGAATTATTGTTAAATGCTGTTCTGGCATTGTTTTGGATGTCCAAATGTATTGTTGTGGTTTTGCTGCTCATGCTTTATCAGGATTTTCTGATTTACAGGTGGTGACTGCTCGTGATTTTGGTGACATTCCACCAATTCCAAAACAATTTTCTGTGCAAAGCTCGCTTGGATTGTGGCTGTTTGCAGGGAAAACCTCAGCTCCTGGAGCTGAGCCTGCTGGAGGATTGGTGCTCCCATCCCTGTGATGGGAATTGCCCCAGAGCCCCCTGGTGAGAACTTGAAATCTTGGGGGATTGGGAGGTTGTTCCAAAAAAGAAAGAAACCAGGTTTTGAACTTACTGTTCTGTGCTGTTATTATTCACATTCTGTTTCTGGAACCTGGTTAAAGTGGTTCAGTAGAAATCCTATTTTTAATTATGTACCTGTGTTGGGTATTTATTTGTCATTATTTCCAGCGCATTGTGAAAAAGTGCATTTCTGATAGTGCAGGTTAACCTGAATAGTGCAGAGAAAACTGCAGGTGATCAGTAATTAATGTATTACTTAATAAAGGTTACAGATGTTACCATTTTAAGAAATGGCAATGAGTCATTGCCAGTTTAAAAATCAAGTGTTGAAATTCAGTATGACTTGAAATTGTCTCAGTATCACTTAAATGTGAATTTTTGCATTTTTTACTGAGGATATTACAAATGTATTTGTCACTAAAGTCCTTCTTCGGCAGTGTATTAAAAGGGACATAAAAGTGTGTGGCAACAGTGATGTGGACACACAGCCACAATTTTAATTTTCTGTATTAACTCCTCCCATTGTTGCAAAACAAGAGCTTGCAGCTTTTGATCATTTGCTCTGGGTGTGATTATGTAAAACAAAAACCCCAACACCCTCGATGATACACCGTAAATCCGGTGGTTGTTTACTGAAGTTTAAACCAGATTTTTGAGAAATGTTTGGGGTTTTTCCTTAATGCACAATAAGTCCTGAAATTTCCAGAATGACAAACTGGATATGCAGCTCCAAAGGGCTGTGGGGAAAACCTCGTGCCATGAGCCAGATGTGCAGGGAAGGGCTGGATGGGCTGGGGGAGGAGGGTTATTAAAGCCACGAGGTGTTTGGGGCTGGGGGAAGGTGTTTTCAGTAGGAACCTGCTGTTTTCCACAATATCCTCTGGAGATGATGTCCCTCAGGGCTGGGCTGGGCCAGGTCTGCTGCGAGGATGGATCCTGAGCTGTCAGCAGAGGGTTTATCTCTGTAAACGTGCTCTAAATCTGCTGCTTTTCACTAGGAATGAAGAGGGAGCCTTGGATGTGTAGGGGATGTTCCCAACAAGCTGGAGATTTGTGCAACTGAGGGTTTATTTCAGGCTGTCTTAATGACCCAGAGGATTTTTTGGAAATCATTTATGTTGGTAAATAATGAGATGTGGCTGCAGAGCTTGTGGTAGCAGTTCACCTTCTGCTCTGGGGTGAGATCTCCAAAGGTGGGTGCTGGGTTAAGGGTCCTGAACTGTTCCAGTCTGCAGATCTGAACCTGTGGGAACAAGGTGAGTGGTTTTCCTGGAATCCCAGACTGATTTGGGTTGGAAGGGACCTTAAAACTCATCTTGTCCCAGCCCCTGCCATGGGCAGGGACACCTTCCACTAAGCCACTTTGCTCCAAGCCCTGTCCAACCTTGCCTTAACCCCCTCCAGGGATGGGGCAGCCACAGCTGCTCTGGGCAGCCTGAGCCTCAGCACCTTCAGAGAGAAGGATTTTGTAGATTTCGGTTCACATTTGACTTGTACTTAGTGCAGTCAGTGGTGCCCCCTAAATTTTCTGAAATTGCTGCAGCTCGTGTTCTTATTTCATTGTTTTACATCAGCTTTTAACTGATTAAACAGGCCAGATTTATGGGGAGTTGTTTTCTTGCTCATTATCAGCTGCTGAAGCATTTAGGGGAATGTTCTTGAGTATGAGGTGGAGAAGCTGCAGATGGACCTGGGTGGTCAGTCCAGGCTACCCCAAAACAGGAGAGCAGCAAGAAAGAACAAGCAGGGGCTCACAGTGCCAAGTAATAATTGTGTTTGGGAATAAATCCATCAATGCCTGGATTTCCCTCCTGTCATTTGGATCCCCGTGCTGTTAATTCATCTGCTGGAGTAGCCTCTGGACTGCAGCATGGTCAGGAGAGGGGCATCTCCAGCCTGCTGGGGTGGTGGATGTGGCAGAGATTCCTTGGCTCCCTCAGGTAAACACAACCCAGGCAGGAGGGGGGTGTGAGCAGGCAGCAAATCCCCCAGAGCCTGGCTGTGCCCGGTGCCCAGCCCAGGGGCTGCTGCTCCCGCTGCGCTCTCAGTGCTGGTGACCGCAGACAGGCTGCTGCAGATCCCTGCCTTCACCCTCTGCATCCCCTTGTGCTCCCTGTGCTCTGGAGCAGCAGTCAAACCAGAGATCCCCTGCAGCTCTGTGCCTCTCACCCTGCCCTGCTTTGGGGCCATTCCTGCCGAGCTGCGTTTGAGTGGGAAATAAAGGGGCATTAATTCCAGTGGAGATCAAGACTCGCTGTCTGCCTGGTCAATTAGGAAGGCATAGGGAAATGTGTGTCTCTTCCCATTCATTGGCTATTACATTAAAAACTCTCTGCTAATATATACTTATATATGCAGCCTGCTTTATGTGGCTTTTACCACATATGAAATGGAGACGTTATAATCAAGGCAGTAATAACGAGGAATGATTAAAAGTAACTTCTGATTGTTTTGGCTTTGGTGAAACATATGACCCCAAGCTGCTGACTCAAGACAAAATGAGGTGGGTAAAGATTCTTGTTCCAGGCTGTGCTCATCCCTGAGCACAACCAGGCCCTGTGTAAGTCTTGTACAGTGAAACCATCCTGGTGTATATTAAAAAAATAAATTAAAAAAATCAAATCTTTGTAAAGCAGCCAGGTTGATGGAGCAATCAGACAACCCAAACCATCCTACAGGGATTAATTTCCCATAGGGATATTTGTGGAGATTACAAAATACCAAATTCCTCTGAGGTCTGGAAATTATTTGTAGGTCGGTATGTGAGATTTAAAATGAGTTAATTCAGCTTTATGGTAATTGGAGTGAGCAGCACCTTCTGAGGACTGTGAGTCAGGGCTGGGGAGCTGTGTGGTTTCGGGGTGGCAGCCTGTGTGGGGGCACCAGGGTTCACTGTGTTGGGGTGAAATTCACTATGTTTTGGGGAAATTAGGAACTAGGGGGGCTGCAGCATCTTTCAGCTAATTAAATAAGCCCTGATCAATGAACTCACTGATCCAGAGGGAATCAAAAAAGCGAGGGGGAAAAAAAAAAAAAAAAAGAATACAGTGATTTTACAGTAAAGCAGTGCAGAACCTTCTGTCAGCCCAGTTCTGGGTGGTCTTTGAGTTGCCTTTGGTGTCAAAAGCTGAGCTTTTTTTGGGAGCAAACTGCCCAAACTGCGCTGAACGGCTCCTGGCAGGGCAGAAGTGCCAGGTCCAACTGCTGGACCACGTGTTGTTGGTTCCCATAGACAGCTTGTTTGGAAGTAAATAGAAACTCTTTGTAAATACAGCTGGGAGAGTGTGGGCAGTGGGAAGAGCAGCCAGAGGGGCTGGTGTGGCTGCACCAGGCTGTGGGACTGGGACTGACTGGTGAGGACTGGCTGCCCATCTCAGCTTGAAATGGGCTGCAAGATACAACCCCAGTGATGACAATCTGTTCCTTCTTGAAAAATCCTCAGGAAAATGGTGTCAGAGATGGAATCAGCCTCGATGCTGACTTCAGAGGGTTCTTTCTTTGCTCAGAGCTCTCCCAGCTGCCAATATTTGCTCCTCTGCTCCTGCTCTGTTGAACGAGTTTGATAAATGTTCCTCTGCTTTCTGAGCGCTGCTGGGTTTAAACAAACCTCTGGGAATATCTTGTAAACTCCCTCCTAGTAAACAGTAAATAAAAGTGGTTGGTGTTTTGCCTGAAGGAAGAAATAAATATTGACTGATTAGAAGAATGGAAGGACTTTTTTTTCCTAATTTCTTTGGAAAGAGGACAAGGCAGTGCATTTGGAAAAATCAGAGCTGCTTTTCTTGGATGTGCCAGCTCCCAGGAGATGGGTGCTCCCCTGGCTCCATGCTGGGTGTGTTTGTGCCCCTCCTCAGGGAACATCCCGGGGGATGTGCTGACCCTGGTGCGGGATGCGGATCCCACGGGAATCCCGGCGATGCTGGTGCCGTGACACACTCGCGTTGTTACTCACGACAGTGGTTTGGGTTTTCCCTGTTTGTTTACTTCGAGAAAAAGGAAGGAACTTTTAGCTTGTCTTTTGCTCAATCGTTTCCTTTGACAGTGAGTAAAACCACGGGGCTGGATGCCAAAGCTGGGGCAGTTGGGACATCGGCAGAGGTGAGTGCTGCCTGCGTGTTTCACCGACTTTTTGCCTTCCCTATTCCCTGTGGCTCCCGCTCTTGCGCCGGAGGAATGTCAGCGCTGGGAGAGCTTTGACAGCAAACTAGAGTGCGATCAATCTCCTGTTCCCAGCAAAAGTCCGGCTCTGGAAGAAAAAAAGGGGGATGCCATGGGGTTTACTGGAGGGGCTGGAGCTGGGTGGGATTTCCCTGTGAGGAGCGGGACTGGCCGAGCCGGCAGCCGGGGACAGACAGCTGGCTTCAGTCCCTTACAGGGAAAATTCCTCTCTGGAATTCCCCCTCCCTTGTCACCGGAGCCCTCCCCGCTGCTCTGTCGCGGTCCCCCCTGTGCGGGGAGGATTCCCCCTGCCCTGGAATTCCTGGCTGCGAGTCCCAGAGCTGGGACAGCACAGCGAGCATTTTATAGGATCAGGGCTGCCCTCCTCCTCCTCCTCCTCTTCCCTCCCGCCTTAGGGAGGATGGTCCCGCTCCTCTGAGCCCCAATGACCGCCCGTGAGCTGCCGCGATCCCGGCCAACACCCCTCTGCTCGTGGCTTTTCCCCCTTTTCCCCTCCCTCTCCTCGTTCTTGCTCCACGCCCGTGGTCACAGGGATGGTCCCGGGTTCTCCCCTCTGCCTGGAGAGCATAAATACCACTGGGGAGCTCTGCGAGACTGCACTTGGTCCGAGTTGCTGAGCCCAGACCTTGCACATCTCGTGCCTCCTGAGGCTTATTCCATCCTTTTCCCCCCCTCCTCCTCGTTTAAATATTTCAGAGACATTAATTTATTTCCCACAAGCAGGCTTGGAGGAGCTGCAATTACCTGGAGACTTGGAAGTACTCAGCAAGGTAAGTGTAAAGTTCAGTCCTGGCTGCTGAAATTTTGGTTTTGGGGGTGGTGGGAGTGCAAGAAATGTCCCTTAAGAAGGCACAGTTTTAGTAACTTCTCCAAAAAGTTGTTGGATTGTATAAAATAACACAGTACTGTCTGAGCTTCCCTCATGCGCATCAGCAAGGTAAGTGTAAAGTTCAGTCCTGGCTGCTGAAATTTTGGTTTTGGGGGTGGTGGGAGTGCAAGAAATGTCCCTTAAGAAGGCACAGTTTTATTAACTTCTCCAAAAGGTTGCCTGGATGATATAAAATAACACAATACTGTCTGAGCTTCCCTCATGCGCTCCCTGCAGAATTTAATGCAAGATTAACAAGCATTAATCTGGAATGAATGGGAGGAGTTGGCAACTACAGGAGTGGATTTCTATGCAAATAGAAAATATCCAAGGGATGCTGTTGCAGTCCCCAGAGCTGATACCTGTGGGCACATTGGTGTGCTCCAGGCTGCTTGTGTTTGTGCAGCTCTGCTCTCAAGTCCTGTAGGAAAGGAATTTCAGCATCACCACGTGTGGTGTCTGTTACCAGTGGGTTCTCCATGTGGTTTTACATAGAAACTCACCCACTTGGGTTCTGTGGGAGTGGACTGAAATGGAAGATCCAGATGTTTTAACCCATGGCCTTGAAGATGCTGAGTCTGTGGTGTGTCCAGTGCAATGTGTCACTGTTGTCCTGTGTCTAGCAACTTGTCATCCTCCTTGCCTTTGGAAGCCAACACAATTCTGCAAAGCTTGGGGTGTGTGCATCCCAGGGAAAGAAATGACCTGGGGTTTAGTGCATCATCTTGTGGCTTTATCCCTGGATTTCTTTGCACAGGTTAAAGTTGATCCCAGGCTAACTCATCCTAGATTCCAGGCTAACTGAGGTTACAAGCTGATCCCAGGTTGACTCCCCTCTGCTTCACTGTTTTAAATGCTCTCCTGACATCCTGAGCTAACTTTGCATTTTCCTTCCTTGTCAGCTGGTGCCATGTGTAACTCCACAGGCCCTGGGGTGTTTTAGCTGCAAATGTCACCCATAACCCAGGAGCAGGAGCCCACTCAGGTGCTTCACCAGGGAGGCAGTCAAAGCTCAGTGTCCCTAAGGAAAAAAGGTGACATGGGGACATGAATGCAGGGTCAGCCTGCATGTGGCTTTAGCAGTGTCTCTGCCAGGCTTCAGATGTGACCAGCTCTCCTGCTTTCCGTGCAAGGCAGACACCATCCATTAGCTGGGGAAATAGCTTTCTAAAAATAATCTTTTCCTAAGTCCAGTGCTGCACTTTAACTCCCTCAGACCCCAGAAGCAGGCCTCCCATTTCTCCCCACTCTGGACAGGCTTTCCAGCATATTCAGGAGTCCTTTTCTGCTGACTCAGTCATTTCTGATGGCTCCCAGATGTTCACCTGGCACCAGTGTCAAGGGCCTGATGTGTTTAAAGGGAGGCTGTGCTCCTCTTGAACCCTTGAAATCAACAGCAGAGGCTTCCTCAGCTGACTGTCAGCTGATAATTTTCTGTGAATAATGTCAAGCCCCAGCTCAAAGGCAATGTGATTTCAGCCTCCCTGGGTGAGGCATTGCCCAGCCCTGCAGGGCACTGGGACAGCCTGGGCTGGAGCACACATGTCCCAGTGTTTCTTTGCACCTGGGCATGAGGATACTGAGAGGCAGATGGATGGACATCTGAAATCTGTGACAGCTTTCTGAAACGTGAGCATCTTTCAGCTGCTTTCAATTCATCTGGCCAGGGAACTCTCTGCTCCCTGTCCCCCTCTGATCCCTTTATCCTTCCTTGGGATGCTCAGTGCTCCTCACCTCAAGCCAAAGCAGAGGAAGGGACTTGCACACCCCAAGTGAAATAGAAGATTAAGCCAAAGTGACCTAATTCTAAAGAGGTGCTGGTATCCTTTTGCTGGCAAGTGGGACCCAGGGAAGCACATCCCGAGGAATAAAGCACCATCTGTTGGGAGGTTTTGGCCGCCTCGCCGAGCCAGACGCGCTGGCCTCGCTGCGGAGCCGTGAGCGGGGCAGCTCCTCTGGCTCTCAGATGCTACAGCTGATTTTTTCAATCTGCCCTTTCTGAAAGTTCACTGTTTGCCTTAGATGGGTGGTGGATTTGGGCTCCTGTTTAGCCAAGGGCAGGCGGCCAAACGAGGGGTGCAACGGCTGCTCCTGCAGGGAGAGCGGCCGGGGCTAAATGGCCACATTGTGAATGGCCGTGGCATTGCAGCTATTTTTAAACTCTCAGGGAAGTGCCTCAAAGTAGGAATTGTTCCCTGAATTTGGGTCAGACAGTCTACAAAAGCAACTGCTCCTTCTCCCCTACCCCTCCGTAGCCGGGTTAGAAAGTCGGGCTCCTGCCTGGGGGGAAGTGAACGCCGCAAGCGGGGCTGAGAGGAGGATGAGGTTAAAGGAGTGTTTGTCCCCGTGCCACCGAACGTCCTGCCCTCCAGGTGTGCCTGCAGCTGGGGACAAGGCCTGTGTGTTCGCCTTGCTCTGCGGAGCAGGAAATGATGAGAAGCTGTTACCTAAACGGAGCAAATTACATCCTGCATTGTTGTACCCAGGCGAAGGCTTAATGCGCTGCCTGGAGAGAGGCTGAGGGCAGCTGGTTTTCATCTGCCTCAACGCTCAGTCCAAGAAAGAAGCCTCAGGCAGGGACTCTGTGTCTTTTGTTTCAGGGGTTCTCAGTGTTCTCAGAGTTTTTTTGGGGTCCCAGCCTGTGCAAAGCACCTCGTGCTTGCCGCTGTTCTCCTCAGATGCTGCTCTAGCGGGCTGGGGGAACAGGGGTTTGGGGGTTTGTGCTCAAATGTAGCTTTTAGCTGGGAGTTAGATGGCTGTTCCCTGCTCTGGTTGGCTTCCAACTCCTCTGGTCTCAGAGTGTCCAAATCCCGTGTCTCAAATAATTCCTGCTAATCTGGGGGTTGTTTCCTGCCGCTGCAGAGGAATGCTTTCAGCGTGGCTTTCTACTGTGCTGTTGAAAACAGATCCTCACCTTGTGTTGGAGACAGGGATGGGGAAGCTTTCATCCAAAATTTAGCCCTAAGGAGGGGGATTCTGTGCATGCTCTGTCTGTACAGATGCTTCTTGCCCCGGATGGATTGATCCTGCTCCAGGGGCTCTTAGATCCCACTGAAGAGCAGTGAGTGCTGCACAGCCTCCTGTGAATAGCTGCTGATCCTAATAGAACCAGCCAAGACACTCAAGGATCGCTGGGTGGATAAACTGGAGCACGGGAAGGGGGGGTGGAAGTGCTTGGGCATGACAGGTGGAGCAGAAGCACTACGGAGCAAGGGACAGGGATTAAACCAAGCTGCTCAAAGACCAAAGACCACTCTGTCGGTGCTGACGGCATCCGAGCGCCTGGGAACACCTAATCTGCCCGGGGGAGGGCGGCTGCTCCTGCTGCTCCATAACTCACATCCCTGGCTCCGCTCCCGCCCGCCGGGAAGCGTCAGCGAGAGCCCCGGTGCGTCAGTGCCAGCGGGGACCGCGGCTGCTCGGCCCCGCCGCGACATTTCCCAAAAACAGCCGCTCTCACCCAGCCCGGCAGCTGCTCTGCTGCAGCCTCCGAGCAGCTCTTGCTGCTGCCTGACCTCCTCATCCGGCTGGCTGGGGGTTTTTGTTTCCCTTTTGTTCGTAAAATAGCGAATTTCGGCTTTGCCAGCTGCTCTTTTGGGGGGTAGCTCCAAGCGTCCCCATGTCTGTGAAGGGATGGAGCTGCTGGGCATTGCGGGATGCCAGGGGTGCAGAAGGCATCCTTCTGTATGCCTGGGAAGGGTTCACTCCCAAATCAGCATCAGTGGAATCCCCAGGTGAAATAACCTGAGTCCCCACCTCTTGTGGGGCTGCTCGGGTCTTCCTGCCTTTGGGGTGAGCCGTAATTTTCAGCACCACTCTTTTCCAAGCTCAGATCTGGGCTGTGTGACCTCATTTTTGTGGGACAAATGCACTGAGAGCTCCTGTGGCACTGCTCTGACTGCCTGTTTCTCCCCAAATTCCAGACCTGCACTGAGCCACGGGAGTCCCTGCAGCAAAACCCACCATCACCTTCATCTCTGCTTCTGCTGGCAGCATGACTCCTGCCCTGCCTTGGATCATTCCTCTTGGATGTGTGCTGCTGCTGACAAAGACAGCTGAGTGCTTTATCCTGCCCAACTCGAGCCACCTGGAGAGCATCCTGAGTAAATACCAGGATGGGGAAGCTCACTCCAGGTCCAAGAGAGCCATTTTATTCTCAGACAGACAGGAGATACTGATGCTCCACAATAAATTAAGAGGTCAGGTGTATCCAGTGGCCTCCAACATGGAATACATGGTGAGTCTAGAGCCTGATACATCCCTTTATTTCTTCTTTTTTTTTTTTTTTTTTTTTCCCCTAAGTGTATTTAAATTTTCCTTGTGGTGTGAGAGGAGTGGCAAATTTCCTCTGAAGTAAGTTTTTCTCAAGAGGTTTCCTGAAGCCTTTCATTCCAGAGTGAAGGATGCTTTAGATCAGTGGCCTGTTTTGGTTGGAAGAGGTTGCTGATGGGTCATCCAGTCCATCCTATGCATAGTTTCAGAGGTGGTTCCATTATTCATAAAGGAGCATTTGGCCCAGCCCTGGATGCATCTCGGGTGATGGCAATTCCCCAGCCTGCCTCAGCAGGTTCTTCCATTACCTTCAAGTCATAAAAGCAGCAATTTTCCCCCAGTGTTTAACCCCTGCTCTCCCCGTGAAAGCTTTCAGGCTGTTGTGGGGACACCACAATCTGCTCAGGGAATCTTCTGGTGGTTTTTGGGTTGCTGGAGGTTCACCTGCCCTCAGTCACACATTGATCACCTGAGCTTAGCAACGTGAGCCAAACCTCTGTGATGCTCCTGGGAATCTGCACAGGAGCACAGGGAAACAGGCCTGAGGAATGTGGCTCCCTCTGCAAAGCACTGGAAATAGCTGGAAAGGCTTTGGGAGTTCCTGGGTGGATGGGTCACTGCTGTCGGGTTTTGTAGTTCAGGAAACCAAAATAGAAGTTTGGTCAGTGCATTCTCCCACTTCAGAGGGAGAACTTAAAAGTTGGAGGAGTATGAAATATGCCTTTGCCATCAACAATTCACATTAATATTTTTTTCACCTGATGCCAGAGATCCTACTTTGAGCTATTTTTGCCATGCCATCAAAATATTTCAGGGCCACAAAATGATGTAGGCAAATAATTACTTTTTGTGTGCCTTTTCCCAGTGTGCAAATATAGTTCTGATCAAAACTAGTCTGACTTCAACCTTGTGCCCCTGCTGATGGATCAGGTGATGGTTTTCCTTTTTTTTTTTTTTTTTCCCCCTAAGTGTATTTAAATTTTCCTTGTGGTGTGAGAGGAGTGGCAAATTTCCTCTGAAGTAAGTTTTTCTCAAGAGGTTTCCTGAAGCCTTTCATTCCAGAGTGAAGGATGCTTTAGATCAGTGGCCTGTTTTGGTTGGAAGGGGCTGCTGATGGGTCATCCAGTCCATCCTATGCATAGTTTCAGAGGTGGTTCCATTATTCATAAAGGAGCATCTGGCCCAGCCCTGGATGCATCTCGGGTGATGGCAATTCCCCAGCCTGCCTCAGCAGGTTCTTCCATTACCTTCAAGTCATAAAAGCAGCAATTTTCCCCCAGTGTTTAACCCCTGCTCTCCCCGTGAAAGCTTTCAGGCTGTTGTGGGGACACCACAATCTGCTCAGGGAATCTTCTGGTGGTTTTTGGGGTTGCTGCCCTCAGTCACACATTGATCACCTGAGCTTAGCAACGTGAGCCAAACCTCTGTGATGCTCCTGGGAATCTGCACAGGAGCACAGGGAAACAGGCCTGAGGAATGTGGCTCCCTCTGCAAAGCACTGGAAATAGCTGGAAAGGCTTTGGGAGTTCCTGGGTGGATGGGTCACTGCTGTCGGGTTTTGTAGTTCAGGAAACCAAAATAGAAGTTTGGTCAGTGCATTCTCCCACTTCAGAGGGAGAACTTAAAAGTTGGAGGAGTATGAAATATGCCTTTGCCATCAACAATTCACATTAATATTTTTTTCACCTGATGCCAGAGACCCTACTTTGAGCTATTTTTGCCATGCCATCAAAATATTTCAGGGCCACAAAATGATGTAGGCAAATAATTACTTTTTGTGTGCCTTTTCCCAGTGTGCAAATATAGTTCTGATCAAAACTAGTCTGACTTCAACCTTGTGCCCCTGCTGATGGATCAGGTGATGGATGACTTGTTAAGACCGTGTTTAAAAGGGTAAAAGAAGAGCAAACTTAAATGTAATATAAAATTGTTTGCCAGCTGTGCTGCAGTCAGGGCTGCAAATGGAAAATCCTGCCTTTTGTGACTGCAGGGAGAAGGGGAAGAGAAGGGAGGGCAGGGGACAGGGAGAAGGGGAAGAGAAGGGAGGGCAGGGGATGGTGGGGAAGGACAGCTGTCCCTTGGTCCATCCACACCAGCTGGGTTTTGCCAGAACTCCTGTGCCTTTCTAAGAACTGGGGACTGCATCCCTTTCTCAGCAGCTCTCACATTATCCTGCAGGGAAGCACTGCCAGGAGAGGCGACTTGATGGATTTCCAGAGGGTAAACACAAAGCATGAGCGAGCCCAAGGTGTTTTGGTTGGCCGTGGGGCTGGCAGAGTGTCCACGGCCCGGCCGCTGTTTGCACTTCTGTGTTTGCCTTTGCTCTGGGAGCTTTTCTAGTGGTTTTTATGGGAGATCGAGGGCAAATGAAAGGGCCTTATGTGCTCTGAAGAAAGGAGCTGAGTATGAGATGGTGCTGCTTGGAAGGGCTATAATCAGCCTTTCATGTGCTCGTGTTTACCCAGTATGACTTGGAAATGCCATGTATATGCTGAACGGGAATTTCTCTTTAATCCTTTGTCCTGCAGAGGACATTTCTCATTTGGACTCATTTAAAAGTATGGTCTGTCTGTAGGACCACAGATAAACTTTCCTCTTTCCCTTTGGTGCCAGAGTGGAGCGTCACTGGAGATGTGCTGGGATAATTTGTGGATGAGTGGGTAGAGCTTGTTCTTGCCCATCGACCTCCAACCACTCTCTTGTGAAAATCCTTTCTCCCAGCTCCATATCTGATGTATTTACATGGTCTAAAAGGGAAATGGGACCTAATATATTCCAGGAAAGGGACATATTTAACTGCTACTGGATGAACTTCAGTTGTTGGACACTGTTAATGAGAAAGCAAGAGCACATATATGAGTCCTATAACTTATCTGGAGATCAAAAGAATTGTTATATACTTATGGGATAAAGGCAAAGTGGGCTGAAAAATGAAGAAAGAAACGGTTTAGCTGCTGGGTCTGTATAATTAATTGAAAGCTGGCACAGGTATTCAGTGCTAATGGAAAATGAGTGAGCAGGGCACAACTTCCTGACAAAGCTGGGCCAGTTCAAAATTCCCTTAACCCCTCTACCAGCTCCATGATTGACACTTTCAGAGTGCATTTGGACTGTTTAACAGAGGTGGATGGGTGCCAAGGCCAAAACAAACTGCTTGTTAACAGTCCCAGAGTAAAAAGGACATAACGGACTCAGAGGAAAAAGGACATAATAGATCCTGAGGCACGGTGACCTTTTAAGATGGCTTAGTCAGATGCTTTCAGCAGTGATGAAAGGCAGAAATCTTTCCTCTTGCGGCGGCCTCAGAGACAGCTGGATAAAGCAAAATTGTTCTCAGCGCAGATTGCTGGAAGGAAAATAGTTTGTTTTCATGTATAAGGTATGCATCCTTCCTCTCAACTGTAGGGTGGTGGCTTTCCCTGTCAGGATGGGATAGTGTTTCTGTGGGGGTTAGCAAAAAGCATCTCCCGACCTCTGCCAGGACATGTCAGTCCTGGAGTTTGATGCCACTTCTAGAAGGAAGCTGCCAGTATTGCAGAAAGTCTGGTCTGGGGTGGAAAATGAGTGAGTAACCTGATCACTGCAATTCAGGTGTCTGGCTTTGGGTTTGCAGGCTCCTCAGGCTGAGGGAGCAGACTCCTTGTGGGATGCATTATTAAATCTGGACCTACAAGCTGTGGTGTGGTGTGTGTATGCCGTGCACGTATTTTACATATACACTGTCCATTCCACTTTGAAAGGCCATTAGAAATTTTCAGGAGTGAAAAAAGATAGTCCATGTGCTAACCCACTTGGAATCACACACACCAAAAAAAAATAACAGCCTCTGCTTCTGAAGGAAGCTGAGCACAGGCTTGTTGCCCCTCTGGCTTCAGTCATCTTCCTAGATACTGCTTTGAATATTGGCATAAAGAATCCTTGCAAGTATAGCTGGGAAAGTCTGAAATCTTTTTTTCCCCCCCATTTATTGCTCTGAAACAATTCCAGCCTCCTGACCGCATTCGCGTCTGAGAAGCACGAGGCAAATAACTGCTCCAATTTAGATGGGATGGCTTTGTAATCTGATGCCTGCAGAAACGAGCTTCTCTCCTCATGCAGCAAAAAGCTGTGCAGAGATGGAGCCCCTTCCCAATTACCTGTTAAGTGTCTTTTGTCCGAGTTAATTTATTTTATCCGCAGGCATCAAAGGGAGATACAAAGTGTAGGCTTGCATTAATTCCCATTTAATAGCCCATTGCTCAGGACGTCTCTGCATTAAATTAGGAGATTTGGAACATCTCCACCTCTGGGGTTGCAGGGAATAAAGCTGGGTAGGAAGTCTGAGGAGCTGGGAGTGCAGAACATCTTGGGAGAGTTTCTGTGGCTTTTGTGCTGGATGGGAGGGCAGCCGTGGCCGGTTGCTGCTGAGCCCACAAAGTGGGAAACCACAAAAAGCTGTGTCTGGGCACTGCTGCAAGAGGCTGCCTGAGCAGAGGGTTGGGGATGTGTGGTGGGTCTGATCCCATCACTTCCAAGGAGCTGGAGGGCTGAGAAGGAAAATGGTTTTGTTCCCTGTGTCAGAGAAGTGTCCCCATGGGGTTTTGCAGGCTGAATTTGCTCGGTCACTGCTCAGTCCAAAGCCAAGCTGGTGAGACTGTGACAGCCCTGGGATGCTGCTGGAATCTGGGTTGCTGAGGGTGCTTCCTGATAAGCTGTTCTGGGAGGCCTGGGCTCTGAGCTCAGTGAGATGAGGTCACGTTTGCCTCACTGAGATAGCGGAGACACACCAAGTTCCAGGAGATCCTGCATTTTCCCGTTGTCTTACCCAGGGATGCACAGTCCTTCCCCATCCCAGCTATAACTGCCTGAGACTGTGTGCAGATATGCTCAGAATGAGCACTGGGTGGTTTTTAAGTGTGTTTGAGAGCCTGCATGCCCTGCAGCCCTCCAGGCTCTGACAGGTCCTTTCAAATGTTTGAGATCAGAAGTTGCCTTTCTTCTGGAGAAGACAGGACTTGGAAAGAGCAGCTGGTTGTGATGGTAAATGTCCAAAGAGGACAGTCTCGTGCTGGCATGTGGATGGGCTGGATGCACATTACAAGACCTCTCTTCTCTTTGGTTTTATTTGTAGGAATGTGTGGTAATATTTTAATCCCAACGAATTATCCTCCAAGGGCTGTTCTGAATAGAGCAGCTGTCAGTAATTACACAATGAATTCAGGGCACTGGCTGCTGGGCCCAGCGAGTCTGGCCTTTAGAACAAATGCTCTCCTGGGCAGCAGAGCTGCTTTCCTGTTAGCCTTTGTGTCATGCTGGAGCTCTCCTTTGGCTCACAACCGTGTGATATTTGATGAGCAGTGATCTCACCCCAGCATCCTGCCCCCAGCGGGAACAGAAATGGGATTTGTCACTTCTAACGTGATGCCTGTTTCAGTGAGAGTGGAAAAAGCTTAAAAAGCCCTGGGACTTTGCCACCTCTGATGTATTTGACTGGATCCACTGGTGGACTCTCATTTACTCTGGAAGGAGAAGGGGAGCTGAGACTTGGAGCCTCAGACCCACAGCCCTTGACTGAGAGCTTGGATCAAAGATCTCCAGCTGTGTGGTGGAGGTGGTGCAGCTCTCCACTGGGGTTCCCCTGGGTGGGAATGCCTGGAGATGCACCAACAGTAAGGACAATGCATGAAAAATCATGCTGAAAAGCACTGTGTGTATGTCAGAACTCCTGCAGCACTCAGAAATGTGTGTCATGTTGGAGATCATGGGATCGCAAAGTGTGACTTTCAGTTTTTAATTTTTTAAAACATATTAGAAAACCAGCTGCCAGGAATATCTTGTGGTTTAGGGTGGATGGTCTGCGTGTGTTCTTGAGGTCTTCCCACGTGGGTTTGTGTGTTTTCTGATGAACTGAATGAAGAATTTCCTCAGATGCATGGCATCACCTGGGTGAAATCATAAACCCTTCAGTGCCCTGGACTTTCATGGCAGGGGAACATGTTGAGAAATGTGATTTTAGCACCGAAATGTGGTGGCTTCACCAGGACAGGCCAGACATGGGTGGTATGATCTGTACCATAGTCTTTCTCCACCAACTGCTGTTGGTTTAATCGCCCAGTCTAGTGAGTTTGAGATGCAAAACTGACCCGTTCTCTTCTCTCCCCTCGCCCTGCAGACCTGGGATGAGGAGCTGGAGCGGTCAGCACACGCCTGGGCTCAGCAGTGCATCTGGGACCACGGGCCCAGCGACCTCATCAGGTCAATTGGGCAGAACCTGGCAGTCCACTGGGGCAGGTAAGGCTTGGGGTGCCACAGGATCATTGCAAAGGGTGAATTATGGGTCCTCCTTTAGAGAGAGACAGCTGGGAAGGTTTGCTGTGGTGCCTGGTGGAGCACTGGGGAGAGGGGAGAAAATCTGGGGGTCATTAATTGTGATGGCTGCAGTGGGGTGGGCATCGTGGCAACGCCTGCAGCCACCTCCCACTGAGACTTCCCAGGAAACCAGCACTGATTTGGGCTCCTCATCCATTTGGATCTGGAGATAGCACCTCTGTAACACACTTAAAGTCACTCCTTCTCCTTGGGGAGAACAGGTACAGAAGCCTGAACCCTTGCTCCTAAATCTGCTGTTTCAAGGGGCTCTGACATCATGCAGATGAAGGCTGAATTTTCTCAGGATCAATGTCTGGACCCAGCTCAGAATTTTTGTCTGGATTCAGTTCAGAATTTAATTATCTCTTGCTGTGTTTTCCATAAATATTTATCTGGCTCCTGATTTTTCTTTACTGAAAACACTTTGCAGGGTTTTTTTCAATTCCTGGGACAAGTTGTTAAACTAGAATCATTAACCCATTTAGGAAAGATGACATGAAGGCTTCCAAAGGGATTTTCCTCTCCATCTCAAGGTGAAATTTGTTTAGCCCCTGTTTTTAAGCTTGTTATAGGTTAAACCTGCTTTGCACAGCAAACATTTTGTACTTGCTCAGGAGCACTGAGCATTTTTCCCCCATTTCCTGGGTGGAAGTCCAGTTATCTTAGTTGTAAATCAGGTAGAACTTGGTGGAAAGCAAAGGAAATTTGCTGGTGTGAAATTAGCCGGATGTAAAAATTGGGTCCATTTTAATGTTTGGCAAGTAGAGTGGTTAATTAATTGGAAAGAGTCAAAAGATCATGCTGTTCTTGGCTGTCCTACAAGTGCTCAGGATAGCCATGAGTTCCTGATGGAGGAAGATCCAATCTTGCTCCCTTTGAGGTCCCTGAGAGGAAAGAAAAATCAGATTTATCTCAGCTTTTTTTCAGGAACGGGCCATAACTTGATTGCCTCCATTTCCTCTCCTGTAAAATAGGATTTGGAAAGTATTTGCTTCATGACATCATGAGATGGATGTTTTTAAAATACTTCTAATGAGTGATTTTTAATGAAAAGTTGGCTGAAAGGATAAGCTCCAGTTGGTAATGATATCATTTGGATTTCTGGCAGCTTGCTTGGTGTGAGCTGTTGAAAGCAATCAAAAAGCAGAGGGTTTGGTACAGTTTGCAGATCACTGTGTGCAAAGTGTGTATGAGTTTCTACAGGTAGTTTTGACACCATTTGTGCCCCCCAAACAGCATCAGCACTCCTCAGACTGTGATATCTGAGGCAGAGATTACACACAGGGTACAAGGGGCTTGGTGCAGGGGAAAATTTCTGCCAAAAAAAGGTAGGATAGGAGTGCAGTGCAGCAGCTACTCCACACCAGCTCCTGGTGGGATGTGGGTGAGGAAAAGCCCACTCACTTCAAAGGTCTTACAGTATTGGCTGTGAGTTAACCTCCAGATTTAGCAAATTGCCCCCTGGTAAAATAGGTACATGATGGCTTTTGGTTTAAGATGTTTGGCAAAGCCTAACTTGTGTTTACTTTCAAAACACAACTTTCCGCCAAACTAGAAGTTATTTTGTAGTTGAGTGGAAAAGTGAGAGGGCATTTCAGGTCAGCAGCACTTGAGGATCATGTCAAACCTATAAATAATACAGAGTCAGGTCAGGCTGTGAATCTGAGGGAAAAAAATCATAGAAATACATAACAGTTTGGGTTGGAAGGGATCTCAAAGATCTTTCCAGTTCCAGCTACCCTGCCATGGCAGGGACATTTTCCACCATCCCAGGGTGCTCCAAGCCCAATGTCCAGCCTGGCCTTGGACAATTCCAGGGATCCTGGGGCAGCCAGAGCTTCTCTGGGCATCCTGTGGCAGCACCTCCCCACTCTCAAAGGAACAATTCCTTCCATATATCCCATCAAACCCTTCATTTTTAACATTTTAAAACAACCTAATTTTTTTTTATTTTATTATTTTTTTTTAAATTTGAAAACTTCTGCCAGAACATCCTGATTCCAGCTGCCTTTTCCCCCCTCAGGTATCGATCTCCAGCATTCCATGTGCAGTCCTGGTATGATGAAGTGAAGGATTACACCTTCCCATACCCCCACGAGTGCAACCCCTGGTGCCCAGACAGGTGTACGGGTGCCATGTGCACACATTACACCCAGGTAAAGGACTCCAAGGGCTCTGTACCCACACTCCCCACATCCCCCCGTGTCTGGATTGGGGTAATTTGCTTATTTTCAACAACTACATTTCCCTTGCAGATAGTCTGGGCCACCACCAACAGGATTGGCTGTGCTGTGAATGTCTGCAAGCAGATGAACGTGTGGGGGGAGATTTGGGAGAACGCTGTCTACCTGGTCTGCAACTACTCCCCCAAGTAAGGCAGAGCAGCTGGGCTCTCTCCATCTCCCAAAACTGGCAGCTGGCTTAACTAGCTCTGGGGAAGAGATTTCAGGCAGTCTAGACTGGTGGTTGTGGCTTTAAATTTTTTTTCTTTAGACAGCAGCACAGGGCTGGTTCAAAACTACAGAGCCTGGAAAACTGAATGAGAGGCTGGGGCCAGGCTGGAGCTTTGATGTTCCTGCCACGGGAAGGGAAAGGAGGAGCAGGAGATGGCCAGGATGGAGCTGGCGTGTGCTGCTGAGCAAGGCTTGCTCTCTGCTGTCAGAGGGTGGGAAGGGATGGGGTGGTGGCGAATGCCAAAAAAACCCTGAAATAACTGCAGCAGGCAAGATTTCACTAGCTCAACGGTTCGATTAAATTTCAAAATGAAAATTATATTTCTTGCCTACTACATCCAGGAGCAGTTTACTACCTGGCAATGGCAGTTAAGATTTTCTGGTTTAATGGCTAATAGGAGAAACATTCCCGCTCCAAGCCCTTGGCAATTTAAACTTCAAAACAAAACAGGGAAATTACTTTATGCAAACGGAGTGGCTTGGGGAGCACCTGACTTCAGGGGATCACTGCAGAATAATGCAAAGGAAAAAGAATTTTGGGGTTGCAGCTGTCGTGTCCCAGGCCGAGCTCTCTGGGTGGGTTCTTTAAGCCCCTCTCCCCATGTCAGATGAGCACATTTTGCTCCTGGTTTGGGAGAATTTAACAACCTGCTCCTCCTGAGGGATAACAGCATCTCCCGCAGAGCCCCCGCAGCAGGCTGGGAGATTTACACATCATCCATTCAGAGCTGCTGCATGGAAAAACACTCTGTTTCTGCAGTTTCTGCTTAATCTCTTCTCTCTGGCACCGGTGCACACTGTCCTCATGTAGCCTTATAGGTGGAGACAGCTGAAAGAGCATAACCCGGAGTTTATAGCCACAGCTTAACTCTGGCTCCTTCAACCTCCTCATCCCCTAAAACTTGCAGGACAGAATGCCAAAATGGGCTGTTGTTTCTGGGGAGTTTCTCCAGCAAAATGCAGTAATCCATTGATTTATTTCTGTTTATATAAGATCCTGATGTTAATATTGGAATGTAATATAAAAGCGATGTGCCACACAATTTAAGGAAACCCCTAAAAAAATATCATTTTAGAGATGAAACGCGGAGGAACATCTTTCCTACATGGCTGGTTGTTTAGCCTTTATTTAGTTGCTCTAGGCCAGGATGGTGTTTCTGGGTTTGGAGGCTTGGGAGGGTGTCTGATGGGTGCTCATTTCTCCTGTGCTCCCAGGGGCAACTGGATTGGAGAAGCTCCATACAAGACCGGCCGTCCCTGCTCCGAGTGCCCGCCGAGCTACGGGGGGAGCTGCCAGAACAACCTCTGCTACAAAGGTACCTGCTGGGGGCTTGGGGCATCTCTGGGGTGGGGCACAAGGCTGGAGCAAACCTGTGGAAGCTTCTAATTGGAGCCAGCCACAGCTTTGTGCCCCTTTTAATTAGCCATCCTCAATATTCCAACACTGGGACACGTGGGAAATCGACAGCCACTGAAAGCAAGAATCCCTGAGCTGCTGAAAATCTGGAGCTGGGATTCAGCAGGTTTTCCTGGGGAAAACAGAGAGTTTGGCTGGGGAGAAGCAGCTCTGAGCTTCCATGGGTTTGGCCCTGGAGCTGCAGGGGGTTTTGAGCGCCGGCAGGCTGCGGGCAGGAGCGATCCCGTCCTTGTTGGGGAAGGAAATGTTCTCCAGTGCTTGGCAGAGGCATCCTCGGGGGCCAGAGCTTGGCTGCCTGCCCTGCTCCTTCGGGAGCCACGGGTGGAGCCTTTGCCTCCCTCCCCACCTTTCAGGGTGGGGATTCAAGGGATGGTTTTCGGGTTTTCAGGGATGCAAAATGATCATAGCGACTTTTGCCCCTTGGAGGAGAGGAGGGGGATCCTGAAGGGATTTTCCTGACCTGTGGAGTGTTTTTGGAAGGGAGGTCAATAGAGTAAAACAATATTAGGGTGAGGCCTCCAGTGCCCAGGGGTAGCCACAGCTGCTCTGGGAATTCCATCCCAGCTCCTCCCAGGCAGGAATTCCCAAAATCCCATCCATCCCTGCCCTCTGGCAGTGGAAGCCATTCCCTGTGTCCTGTCCCTCCATCCCTTGTCCCCAGTCCCTCTCCAGCTCTCCTGGAGCCCCTTCAGACCCTGGAAGGGCTCTGAGCTCTCCCTGGAGCCTTCTCTTCTCCAGGAGCACCCCCAGGTGTCCCAGCCTGGCTCCAGCTCTCAGAGCATCTCCACGGCCTCCTCTGACAGACTCCAGCAGTCCATGTTCTCCTGATCTCAATAAAATATCAATTTACCAGAAGTCCCCTCAGTCAGTAATACATTTAGGAAATGTTGGTTTTATTTCACCTTTAAAAAACTCTACACTCAGCACTCACCCTGCTTCACAACTTTTCTAGGGTTTATGGCTTGTTTCCTCTCTGTTTCTTGCTGGGGAATATTTCTGAAGTTATTTGTGGAGCTGCTGGTTCTTCCTGAGTCGTTTTCCAGCCGCTGTTAATTAAAAGACACTTATTGAGAAAACAAGGTGGGGCAAGCCAGCGGGTCCTTTTCAAGTTTATCAGCCAGCATCTGGAGAGTCTGTAATTAAAAGGAGAATGAGAGCTCTGACTGCAGACCTCGGGCTGTAAATCAAAGCCTTCAGCTGCATCTTCCTTGCTAATATTCCAAAGACACCTGTCTCAGGTGAAGGGCTAAAGAGGCACCAGCTGCTCCAGGCTGGATAAAATCAGATTTTATCTTGCTGCACCAAAGACCTCCAGGAAAGATATGTGGAGGTTGCTCATTTCTGTAGCTCAAGAGCAGGCTGAGCAATTTCCTTTTTTAAAAAATATATTTATTTGATTTTTTTTTCCTCCCCAGCACAAGTCATTACCTGTGAAACCAAGATGAGAGACAAGTGCAGAGGCTCAACGTGCAACAGGTAGGGTTTTGTTGACACTTCTTGGAGTGCTGAGGGAAAAAAGTAAATAAATACTTACTTTTTATTGTTAAATATTTTAAATAAATATTTAATATATATGTTTTATTGCTAAATATTATTCAGTTCTTGCAAACATAGGATAAGTTGCACTATATATTTTTTGTGACTCTCTAGGTAAAGCTCTTTAGGAAAAACCCCAAAACCCAACAAAAAAAATCCCCTAAATTTCTCTTCATTCAAGCCTTCAGCCAAGCCTGGCAACAAGGTGATTTGGATGATTTTACTCAGCCGTGATGACCCACAGTTTCAGGTGTCCAAAATAATTTAATAAATTTCAGCAGAGTCATTTTTCGAGCCTTTTTCATGCATTCCACTGCTGTCCAAGCCAGACCAATAATTCAGGGCTTGTCCCCTCCCAGCCAGTCAAGAACTTCTGGTTAAGGTTTCTGCAGAGAACAGGACAGTTTATCACTTGGAGAAAAACCAAATCCACAGAACCTAAATATTGGTCGGGCTCTTAAGGAGGGTGGAGCAACTGTTTTAAAAAAGTAGCTATTTTGCAATCTTGTTTTTAAAACAGGAGAACTACGTGAAATGAATGGAATGACTATTAAGTGAAATAGAGTCAAAGTCTGTTTTTCTTGAATTGTTTTTCGCCACCCTCAAAGATAAATATCTTTACTAGGTATTTGTGCCCAGCTGGCTGCTTGTACAGTAAGGGAAAGATCTTTGGAACATTTTATTACGAAAGTGTAAGTACCTTTTAATAGCTCCTGGATGTAATTTGTGGGAGTCAGTGGGAATGACAGAAATGGGAAATGCCAGCCATTCTGGTGTAATTTGGCTTTTCATGCTCTCCGGTTGTGGTGCTGTAAAATGGTGCTAATAAAGATTATCTGTGTTTTCCTCATCTTGCTGTTGAAAAAAGGGACAGACTCTGGGAAGGCAAAGTGGTTCCAGACGTGATTTTGTCAGGAATTTTTGTCCTTAATGTGGACACCCATGGAAAGTGAGGGATGAGCACCAACAGGCAGCTCCTACAAAGATCTCTTTGCTCCTGTGGGCAGCTGCCATCTGAACAGAAACTTTTATATAAAAAACACTTCCATTTTGCAACTAAATAATATTTTGGGCTAATTTGCTCGATCTTAAATTAGTAAGATAATTTATAAATAAAGCATGGCACCATTTTCCCATCAAAACTGGTTTTTGGGGTGAAGAAAGTTGGACGATAAAAGGGGTTTTTTTAGGTAAAATCAGGTTTTCTTTCCCTCTTCCAACTGCTGGTGCGTGACTGCATCACCCCTGATGTGTCTTTGCCCTGGAAATTCTGTGATTGCAGACACCCAACCCCTCCAAGTGGCGTCAGCAGAAATATTTTGGGTTTGAATATTTTGTCAAGAACTGGAAATATTTCAGACTGGTCGCTCACTTCCAACACTGCTTTTCCTCTAAATTGTATTTAAATGTATGGTTTTGTTATTAAAAAAAAAAAAAAATCTTGCCATTCAACCAGGCAGTGCTTAAAATAATAGTAATAAAAGAATCTGTATTGGGAGAGGAAGATTTAACAACCAGATTCCAAAGGAGTGTACTCAGCTTATTTTCCACTTGGTGCTCTGGTGGTGGTTTCATTTCTCCTCTGTTTTTCACGTAGCAGTTGGGCAGCGTTGCTCTGTGAATGAGATTTATTTGACTCATTTCACACCCCATCTATTTATCTCTTGTCAGTCCTCCAGCATATGTCGTGCTGCAATCCACTATGGAATCCTGGACAACAAAGGAGGGCTGGTGGATATCACGAGGAAAGGGAGGACACCTGCTTTTGTGAAGTCCACCAGGAATGGTGTGGAGTCATTCAGGTACTGCCCTCACCAAAAACTTTAAATATTATTTTAATAATTTAAATATTAACTTTAAACACAAGCAGATGTTCAGTTATCTTTGCTCTCGTGTAGACACAGTGGTCCAAATAATTCCACTCTGCTTGTTTTTTTAATATGTTTCCAAAGTCACAAGTAAGTTTTAACTGTTGAGGCTGGAAAAAAATATTGTTGCTGGGGTTTTATGGGGTTCTTGAAAACATCTTTCCTTTCAGGGCTCTTTTTCATTTTCAGTGGTTGTGTCAAATGGTTCTGTGCCACAGCCAAACCCTGCAGTGGTGGTTGAGGGTGAATGTTGAGGCTGGAAAAAAAATATTGTTGCTGGGGTTTTATCTTTCCTTTCAGGGCTCTTTTTAATTTTCAGTGGTTGTGTCGAATGGTTCTGTGCCACAGCCAAACCCTGCAGTGGTGGTTGAGGGTGATCAGAACCTTCGAGTGGCTGCCCACCCACCCTGGGCAATTCCACCACCACCCACCTCATTTTCCTGGGGGCATCTAAGAGGAAGGTAGAGAAATGGGTGAAAATGGGCCAATTCCAGCAGCATCTCCTGCTGATGGATCATGGTGGGGTCCAGACTTCAGCTGCTGATAGTGAAGGGATGGAAGTTGAGCCATCCATCTTTAAAAACCTCAGTCAAGTGTCAACACTTACAAAAACTGAAAAAAAAAATAGTGGCTAATGCCCTAGTGCAGTAATGTCATGAAAAACACAATACATGTGAAATTAGTTTTTAACAGTGAGTCATCACATTTCTGATGGGCATATAAATAAACACTACTCTGCTTTTTAAACAATTCCCACTTTCTGAATAGCTTTCAAGAATTCCTCCAAGGCAGAACCATCCTTTTATTAGACCCACTGAGCCCCTTTCAGGGAGAACTGCAGGTGTCAGGATATTTGGGCTCCACATCTGGAGCTGTAGCAAACCCAGGTGTTGTGGATCAGCTGCCTGTCTCTTCTGAAAGCTGTGACCTTTTTAAGGCCACACGGTTGTGTGGTTGTAGGATTCCTGCTGGAGAGCTGGACAGCCCCATCCTGGGATCCTGCTGCTGGAGCAGCTTTCCTCCTGCTGGACAAGGGTCTCACCAAATGCATTGTGTGGCTCTGACTTGTGTTTTCTGCAGCAGCCTGGGCGTTTGGGTCTAATGATTTGCCTTTCCACGTTTATTTTGGCAGCACAGACTCTGGATTGTTACACCACAGTAGCTGAGCTGTGCCACTTCAAAAAGCCAGCGAGCCACTGCCCAAGGTAACACAAATCTGTTGGGTCTAAAACTTCTGTCCTAGGGAGGGGCAGCTCAAAAGAGGTGCTGAGGGCCCTGAATTTGAGGGCTGGTGGGAGAAGAGCTGATTATACTGGTTGAACTGGAGGAGGGGGTTGGGAATGGCGTGTTTCCTCCATGCTTTTCTTGGCATCACTGTAGAAAATTCACTTTATGTTTTTGGATGGCTTCAGTAACATATCAGCCAGGCTGCACAATCCTGTCCCAGCACACTCTCATGTGTGAGCGTGCAACTGCACACTCTTTGTCTTTTTGCTTCTGCATTTGCTGGGTTTTGGATGTGGTTTTCCTTTCCACCTTAAAACATGGAAGAAGTTTGTCCTGGAAACTGTGCAGAAGTGACAGGGCAGAGGGGCACAAACACATGCAGAGATTTATGTGCAGAGAATTGAGCAAAAATACAGGTAGTCCCCCTTGAAAGGTCGTAAAAGACCAACCCCTCTTCTACTGGTCCAAACCCTTCTGTTTGCAGCTCTGCAACAGCAACCAAATGTCATCTGAGGGGAGCGAATAATCAAATTCACTATTGCCACCTGCAGACCAGATGCAGGCACCTGAAATCTCCCAGGAATGCAGCTGGCCTTCCTGTGCAGGCCTGCTCTGGAGAATAAATCTGAATACATTGTTTTCCAGGATTTACTGCCCAGCCCACTGTAAGGACGAGCCGTCGTACTGGGCGCCCGTGTTCGGCACCAACGTTTACGCCGATGTGAGTACAAACCTCTCCCTGCAGATCCTGACTGCCCTGACCCAGAGCTGGGCTCACTCTGGGGTTTAGGGAAGAAATTCAGACTCTCTTGTGGTTATTCCATGTGGGGATGGGCAAAAGGGGGTGAAAGGTGGGGTCAGCAGGCTTGGGGAGCCCTTTTGGTCTCTGACACTGATTTATTTGGAAGGACTTGGATGTGTCACTCCACAACTCCTTGAGTTGAGTTTGGTGAGCTCTTTCACTCTCCAGCACTGACTCCTTCCTAGAGATTTGGTCATCAAAACCTCCCCAAGCCTTTGGGCTCTGGCTGTGAAATGATAGTTGCACTTGTTTAAAGCATTTTGGGATTTATAGATGAGCACTAAAGGACTTTTATTCCATCCTAACACATGACAGAGTTGACAGAAAAAGACCTCTCTCCCCGCTTTCCTCCTCTTTCTGGGAGATGAACAGCTTCTGAGCAGCCAGGGCAGAGCTCAGAGCAGTGGAAAGAAAGAGTGTGAGCTGGTTTTATGGGTTTGTTTTTCTGAGCTTTGCTCAAGGGGATGAGCAGAGACTTGATGCTAAAACTAGGCAGAGTCATTTTCTTGAAATCTCTTAGTATTAGGCCTCTAAAAACTGAGTCTCAATGTTTTTCCATTTGTGGGTGTCTGGTTATTTTGGGTTTTTTTCCTCATTTTCTGTTTTCCATCGGGGGCTGTGTTCAGGAATGCCAGCTCCCTGGCTGCCCTGTAGCCTGTAGGATCATGGTTTAGAAAACCAGGGGAAAGCAGTCAGCAGATTGTGGACCCCCAGCTTCAGGTCACCCTGGAGCTTTGCAGGCTGCTGAGAAAATCCATCCTGCAGGAATCATACAGTAATTTGGAGAAGCAATTTTGAAATCAATTTCAAAAACAAAGCAAAACAAAACCCACTATTTTTAATTTTGCTCAGGACCAATTTTTTTGAAGGCAGAGCTGCACAAACAGGTTATCCTGGACTAGCTCACAGGCAAATCCAAGGGACAGCTGCCTCCCTGCAGTACCTGCCTCCTGCATGCTCCCACCTGCAGGAAATGGGAAATAGTTTTCTCTTTTTTACAGAGGACAAACCTCCCTCAGATCACCCCTGAACAGGGCCTGTGATTACAAAGGAATTAGGTGAGGAGCAGCATCCCAGGCTGGCATTGCACTGACGCAAAAGGATTAGTGTCCTTTAATGAACCCATTTCCTACTCTCCCTCCTGGGTATTGTTTCATAAAGGGGTGCATGGACAGTGGCTTGGGAGAAAAACAAAAAGCAATAGTAATAAAGTATTTGGCCACTTCCTCGAGGGTTTGGTTAACCTCTTTTTGGACTACTGTGATGTGGAGGTGCCAGGAAAGAATTGGGGTTGGTGACAAAGCAGGTGAGACCAGCTGGGACAAAGAGTTTGACTCTGAATGGTGCTGCAAAGGGAGAGGTGGGAATGCTGGGAATGCTCAGAATGGGAAGTCAAGAAGAGAAATAACCACACCAAGCAAGGAGAATTTGTGGAAAGGCTTTTCCCAGGGAGAAAGGCCTGTGCAGGGCGCTGGGAATTAACCCAAGGCCACTGCTGAGGGATAATTAAAGCAGGCAATGAGCTGGATGAGACAAGTGCTGGTCTTCTGGGAGGGCTTTGGGAAGCCAACTTCATGTCTGGTGTGGCACCTTCATGGCCCTGGGGGCACCTGGGCTCCAAATGAGTCTTCTTAAATAAGCTGTCTAAAGGACAATGAAGCATTTAGCCCCATTTCCAGTCTGCACTTTACTTTAAAAAGCAGTTCAGGGAATTGTTCATGGGGAAATTAGTAAGACTGTGGAACAAGGATGCAGAGGAGACTTGAATTTTGGGGTAAATGAACCAAATGCAAGAAATATGTAATGGTAAAAGTGGACAGGCCTGGTTCTGGGATGATCATAGAGCCATGGAATGGTCTGGATTGGAAGAGACTTCAAAGCTCATCCAGTTCCACCCCCTGCCATGGGCAGGGACATTTTCCATCGACCAGGGTGCTCCAAGCCCTGTCCAACCTGGCCTTGATGCTGGAGCTGTGGGAACAGCCAGGGATCTTTATGGAGGTTGTAAAAGAGCTTTTGACTTCCATGAGACTCTGTCATTTGTCACTCTGCCTGCCTCCTGGTGTGACATAATCCTGCCAGGGAAACCCATCCCATCCCTGCCCAGGAGCCCTGTGGAGCAGGAAAAAGAACAACTGCCCCACCTTTGAGATAAGGTTTTATCCACAGCTGTGCAGTGGTTGCTTGGAGGAGGATGGATGGATGGATGGATGGATGGATGGATGGATGGATGGATGGATGGATGGATCAGATAAGGTTTTATCCACAGCTGTGTAGTGGTTGTTTGGAGGAGGATGGATGGATGGATGGCCTGCACAGAGGCAGGAGTTTGTCACCAGAGCAAACTGAGTTGGGAGTCAGCTCCCAGGAGATATGAACTTAGTGATTAAACCAGTCACACTAGTGAGGAAATTCTGGGTGATTAAGCTCATAGTCAGAGAACATTGTTAATGACCCACTATAAAGTGTGTTGTCATTTTATGGTGTGTGCCCTGGGGCTCATTTAATCAGGAATTGGTCTCAGAGCATCCCAAGGGCCTTCACCATGGAAAAATGTATTGTCCAGGCTGCTGTACTTCTGGACCTGGAAGGGAAGGCCTTATTCTTGTAATATCTCATCTTCCAAAAGCTCTGCAATCAATTAATCAAAGCACAGCCTGGCCTGGGACATGAGAGGGCTGTGATCCAATGGAGTGATAAGAGGAGGTTTGGGGTAAATCTGTTGGTCAAAGCTTTGAGCGAGCAGCGGAACAGCAAGTCCTGGGAAAAAAAAAATAACAGGAATGCTTTGAAAAGAACATTGTTCAGGATGTCTCCCAGCGGAGAGTGCTGCAAATTGATCCAGGACAGTTTAATTTTATGAGCCAGTTTTAGATTTATAGATTTCCCACCACATATTAGGGCAAATTCACTGCATATCTTCCAAACACAGCATTCCCTTGCTCCCTTGACCATATATAGAAGCAAAATACCAAACTAGCGCTCAAAACTCTGAGGGCTGCCAAGAGATAGGCTATCCAAAGTGATAAATATATATATAGGGGACAAGAGCTGCCATATATGGCTGTGGCAGGGAAGCAGCATGGGCTGTATCATACGTGCACAATGGGAACAGTTGCACTTGGCACTGGTTTTGTGGTACTTGGATTTTTAGCAATCAGGGCATTTCTGGGCTTGGGATTTTCACCTGCTGAAGTTCACTGTGCAGAGTTGGTTTTTCCTTTGTGTTCTTCCAGCTTGCTGTACGTAAACCCTGCAGAGAGCTGATGGCCAAGTTTACACTATCCCTCACCCTTCTGTGCTTTTGCTTTTTTCCTGGATGCTTTGGGGGCTTAGTCATCAGTTGTTACTGGTTTGTGTTCCTCCAGCTCTTCTGACTCTGCACATCTGGGATGTGCAATTGAGAAACTTTGGTCTTTCCAGAAGTGTAATCTCCCTCCACATTTGGTGTTGTTTTTTGGGGTAAAGCCCATCCAAAAACTACACCAGTCAATGGGGTCAGCCCTTATTTCTAGCAAAGACAGAAGGATGTGAGCTGTCCCAGATAATTAGTGATCATTTACCTTAATTCAGGAGAAGCATTTCCTTTCCAAGCAACTGTGTGAATAACCTTTGCTGTCAGTAGTACAGTGTTACACCTCAGGGGTTTCTCTGGTGCAGTCCCAAGAGGCACTGGCTGGAAAGTTGTCCTCAATTCAGTCTTGGCCCTGGATAAGATGAACAAGTGTGGCTTTAGACTGGACATTGGGAAGGAACTGTTCCCTGTGAGAGTGGTGACACCCTGGCACAGGTTTTCCAGGGAAGCTGTGGCTGCTTCATCCCTGGAGATGGCCAAGGCCAGGTTGGATGGGGCTTGGAGCACCCTGGGAGAGTGGAAGTTGTCCCTGCCCATGGCAGGGGTGGAACTGGATGAGCTTTAAGGTCCCTTCCAACCCAAACCATTCCATGATTCTATGATGATCTCACAGGTGCAGGTCCACCTCAGAACGATGGAAAATCTATTTCTCCTCTGTGGTGATGGTGGATTTTCTTTCACCCAGGGATTAAGACATACCTTCAAGATCTAGTCCACAGTTTGTCCAAAAGAGGGACAAAACTGTTTCATAACTGTTTCTTTGTCTATTCCGTTTTTCTTGGTGTTGATGGAATTGATAAGTCTTTGTATATAAAATATAGACAGTGCATAAGTCAAAACAATTAAATATTTTTCAGAGCTCCAGTATCTGCAAAACTGCAGTGCACGCAGGGGTCATTTCAGATGAAAGAGGAGGCTTTGTGGACGTGATGCCTGTAGAAAAGAAGAAAACCTACGTTGGCTCCTTAAAGAACGGCGTCCAGTCAGAGAGGTGGGATCTCCCTCCTTTGTACTCCCCTCCTCTTTTCCAGTGTTTTCATCTGCCTGGCAAAGTCAGCAGATATCAGCTCGATGGGCTGGTGGCTTGGAAAGAAGTGACTTCCCAGTGTGAGTTGTGACAGCCAAACAAATGGAGCGTGGTGTCCTGCTCTTTGCTTCCCCCAGCTGCACTCAGGCTGCTGGGAAATGTTGTTAAGCCTTGTTAGGTTTTGTTACAGCACAAGTCCACGTTAATGCATTTTGCTGTGTGTTTAACACATCAGGAGATAAGCACAGGTATTTTCAGCCCCCGGTCATGATTTGGGTTTTGTAACTTGGATTTCTGTTCAGTTCTGGGGTGTGGGATTCATTTGTCCTGGTAGGAAAGAGATAGGAGAAATTCAGAGCTGCCTGTTTGGGTTCTGTGGCGCCTTCACTTGGTTGATTCCATGTTTGTTTTCCTTTCCTCTTTTCTTTGTCTCCAGCTTGAAGAACCCTTCAGATGGGAACGCCTTCCGAATCTTTGCTGTGAAGCAGTAAAAACCCCCAGGGAAGGTGCAGGTTTCTTTGGGAGAGCTCTCTGTTGATCTCCAGAGACGCCAAAGCTCCTCTGAACGGCATCAGCTCTGCCCGTACCCTCCTTGCCGATCTCCTTCAGGGAATTCCAAAAGAAAAGGGGAAAAAAAAAATACCCCCAAAAAAAGACCCCAGGTTCTGACTCAGCTGTTGGCATCTCATCGCACCTGTGCAGCGTTGTATCTTTTTGTCTCGTGTTTTTTGTTTCTCTAGGGGCATTCAGCGACCATAAACTGTTGTAAGTTTCATTTTACCAGAGGTGTTGCTATGCAGGACGGCGGTGGCTCCATATGCAGCAGATTCAGGGATCTCAGCCTGGCCCTGGATGGTGTTTTTAGGGTGTGAAGCTTCTCCTGGGATGGGTGTGAGGATGAGCAGACTCGGGAGTGAGCGGCTGTCCAGGTGCTGGACACTTTGAAATGAGAAGCTCGTTGAAAAATTGCATTGTTTGGGGAGAGGATGGGCTTTGACAGAGTGATTTTGTGTATGTTGGATGGTTTACGTGCAAAAAAGGATAAAAAGTGGTGTTTTCCCACTGAGGTTGATGTGCAGCAGTGCTGCTGGGCGAGGCTGCTGGGTACCTCAAATGATGGGGTTTGGGCATGTTCTTGGCAGCCAAAATTGAGGTTTTGTGGGCCTGGAGCAGGATGCAAAACGGTGGCAGAGATCCTCACTGCAGAAAATGAGGCCACCAGATCATCCAAAGAGCAGGTTTGGTGTTTGCTGGTCAAACACTCCCAGGTATTTTTGGCAACCTCTGAGCAGTCAGAGAATTGGGGCTCCTGTGCTGGCACATCTCACCTATACTCCACGCCATAACTTCAGTTAAATGCAGTGTATTGGTTTATACAGCAGTGCTGGTTGTTTTATAGTAGTTAAGTAGTGATAAAATTAATCTTATTTCTGCTAGGAATGGTTGCATCTGTAGGAAACAGGTTCACTTTCCCTTTGTGAAGCTCCTTGTGGTGTGTGCGGTTCTGAGGCTTTAAAGATGCGGCATAAATTGGGGTAGGTTAATTTTCCCAGGAATTTCCAATTGTGGAGCCAACAGATCCCCACTTTCAGTGCAATTGCTGCACCCATGAGCATTTGATATCCAGGATGGTGGGTTTTGCAAAACTCATAAGTTGTTGTAATGGTGTTATTCCATATTTTGATATTTTTGTCTTGACCCAAATGCATTTCAGAGCCAAGAGAAGGGCTCAGCATGAGCTGCTTTTTTAAGGTAGAAGGACAATCTCTGATACATATTGGAAATGAATTTTTATGATTGGTCTAAACACAAATCTGGTGTGTTTTGATACACACGCATCCAATAACTTCATCAGCCATGAGAAGACAAAGCCAGCAGTGGTTCTTCAGTTTTTGTAAATGCGCAGTCCTTCTGTTCAATAACTGAATTGTAATATTGGATAACAAATGGGAAAATATTTCCCTCTGTTTGGCAGATGTTTCACAGCTGCTCTTAGGCCCAGAACATGTTTGGTTTAACCTAGACAGATATGAGAGCCATCTCATCAAGCTCTTTCAAAACACACACCAGAAGCATTTATATGATTAAATGCTTCTTTAATTCTGTAAACACCATGAAATCAGCAAGGAAATGACATTTAAATGACATTCATCACTCAGTTTGCCCCACCATCAGGATTTATTTCTCCATAAAATCTGAATTTGGAAAGAAACCTTTTGTAAAACCTGAAATTGGAGCTGCTTTTCACTGTCTCAAAAAATACTGCACAGAAAAGCCACTTTTGGGGTGGATAGAGAGAAATGAGCCTTTGTGTCATCTTTGTTAATGTAGTATTGTCATCCAAGGTGTACAGTATTGACTTTAGATAGGAAAACTGAACCATTTCCTTTTCTTACTAAATAAATTGATGTTAAAACCAGCTGGAACATATCCTAGAAAAGCTGCTGGAAGGGAGCATGTGAGATGTGGGCAGTGAGGAGAAGCTCCCCTGTTTCTGCCCGCTGTGAAGCGTTGGGGTGGGCATGGTCTGGTTCCAGCCCATCCAACACTGCGGCAAGAATCTGGGACATCCTGGGCCAAATGGGCTGGGAACGGAACTGGGGAGAGTGAGAGCTGCAGTCAGTTCATGGGGACTGCAAGAGCACATAAAACACCTCGACTCTAGCGTGGGATCCATGAAAATTACGGATGGAAGGTGATGGAAAGGACTGTGAGGGCTCTTGGAGTAAAACCCAGGGGATTACTGAGAGCACATAAAAATCCAAACAGCTGGGGATGTACCTAGGTGACGGAAAGGGGACAGGGGAAGGGTTATTATTCCAACAGAAATATCCTAAAGTGCTTAATTCAAGTTAAAATTGCGTATTTTTATCTTCAGCCAACTGGTTTGGATTTTTAGAAACCGATGTTAATTTAAGTCTGTTTATCTGTTTATTTTTGTATTTGTTGTACAAAAGAGAAATTGTGACTTTACTACACAAATATTTTTCGAGGTCCTGGGTGCTATTAATTTAAACATACCTCCCCCAGAATTAGGGGTGATCAGGTCCTCCAAGGCAGTCATGACCTATCAATGACTTGCAATCATGTGTGCTAGCTATTCATGAATAGGTGGGACAGTACCAGTTTTTTAGCCAAATATTGACAGATTTTATTTCTGATACCAAGACATTTCTCAGCCTGCTATATTTCAGAGCAGCTTAAAGATGCATCACACCTGTATCTCACCAGGCCCTCTCCTCCTCAGCCCCAGCTCAGCAGATCTGTAGGCACCTGAAGCATCCAGGTGTAGCCAAAGCTGAGGCTGCCTGGTTGTTCTTTTCCAGTAACTTGGGGTTTGGAAGCAATGGCATGGTCATTGCAGAGCACCTGGCTCAGCCCAGTCTCCAGGAAACACAACCAGGGTGAAATCCAGAGCCTGTGCTGGTGGGGTCTTGGCTCCATTCATTCCTTCTTTTTAAGACTTCCAGCCAACAGCTGGTTGAGGAGGCTCCAGTTTGTCACTTGTGCAGTCTAAATATTTAGGGCCAGTTCATAGAGTTGCTTTTCTTTTTTCTTTTTTTTTTTTTATTTTTTTTATTTTTCTTTTTTTCTATGAAAAACGGTGTATTTTACTTCCTATGTATAAAAGTTACTTGTAAATTTTTGTGTGCCTTTGCATGTTTTCCAAGGGGCTGTGGTTGTTTATAAACTAGATTTTTTTTTTTTTTTGTCTAAACACAGAATTGTAAAATATCTTTTCCTCCCTACCCTTCCATTTTCTTTTGATTTCTGAATTATTTGTGAAATAAAACCTTCCTGGAATGAATGCTTCCCTTGTCTTTAATGCTCAGCCAGAGCTGGTTTGGTGTTTAAAAGAGCTATTTGGGATTAATCTTGGGAACTGGAGTGTCCCCTGGAGACTCCAAATGAGATTGGGATGTGCAAAGCCTGTTCCACAAGCAAATAAACTGCCCACTACCCAGGCATCAAAAATAAGAAATATCCTTAGTGAAACATACTGAGAGTAAGGGAAAATCACTGCCTGCCTTTGAATCCCTGCAACATAAGGGCTGAATTAGATGAATGGGTTGGAAATAGTGTTTAATGATTTAGTGCCGCAAAATACAGTGAGGTGAACTCCTCCCCACCTGAGCAGGCTGGTGTGAATTGTGCTCTCATTTTTTGAAAGGAAAAGTATTCAGATTTTGTAATTCCCTTTGAAATTTTCTCCAGGCTCATCCTTGCTGACAGCACCACAAATCAAACCAAGATTTTTCCTGGTAATCCAACCCCATTTGGTTAAAGAGCAACTCAGGGCTGTTCATAACTCATCCTCCAGACAATGAGCACCAGATGGGTTTTGACCAAAAACGTAGGCTGGGCCATGGGATGGAGTCCTGATAGACCAGGCCATGAAATTTGTGTTTTTCATTACCTGTACAAGAGGATTAATGTTAAATCCAGAGGTGTTTGCTTTACTTCAGGGCTGGGCTGATGCAGTTCTAGTTGAACAGTATTTCCCTGTAAATCCCAGCCTAGGACTGATGAGAGAACCTCGTTTTTGCCCTGCCAGTGATTTTTGTCAAAGCTAAGTTTCATGGCTCCTGCGTGCTCTGCAATTCCCAACTGCCCATTTGAATTTACTTTGTGCTTTCCTTCCCCCATTCTTGCTGCTGCAAAAATGTCTCCTCCGCTGGAAGCATTTGAGAAGATTTTCCTGAGCAGAGCTTCAAGGTAAGCAGAGAGGGGAATTCAGGCTGTTGGTCATTGTGAGGCTGCCTGGAGCATCCCATTAATGGCAATAATTGTTTGATATTTCATTTGTTGGTGCTCCAAAAGCCCCACTCTGTGATTTGGAGCCTGATGGCATTTAAGATCCTTTCCAGCTTAAATCCATTCTATGATTCTGTGAGTTCTGTGGTAAAATTTAGGTCCTGATTGGTCTAGAGAGCAAAACAGCAAAATACTCAAAATTTAGGGCTGAACCTAACCCATCCTTTGGGTCAGCTTGTCATCCTTTGACACTGTCTCTGGTTTTGTCTCCTCCTGCTTGAGCCCTGGGTTTTGTCCTCTGCTTGTCCAGCAGAAATTTGTGTCATCACAAGTGAGAGCAATGTGGCAAACAGAGCTGTGCCTGCTTCCTGCACAGCAGGTATGGAAACCAGGGAAGGCTCGGGGGGAAACACACAGCCAGGAGAAATTTCAATTCTTTTTTTCCCAGCTGGGGTGGGATCCAGATTCTGCTTTAGCTGAGAAGGCATAAAGACTGGCAGCTGAAGGAAAGTAGAGGGGAAAGGAAAGTGGAGCTGAGCGAGGGTGGCAGATCTGATATTCCCACATTGCTGGGAATCCTTGGGGATCAACAAGCAGCCAGCTTGCTGCTTCAGGCACAAATATCTTGTTGCTGGTTGTTTTGCCTTCTGCTGGCTGCCCCTCAGCCCGTGCTGAGCTCGTCAGAGCCTATGTATAGCACGGGCATACCTTGGGGTGGGTGTCCTTCCAAAAACCCACAGTCATTTATAGGATGCGCCCCCGATGTTTTCAAAGCCATTTTGCAAACGGTGGGGTTGGCTCTCATTTACACTAAGGACCTACTTTAAGGCACTTAGGAGGCATTTATGCCACTTTAGGGTGTGGAGAGAGGCAGCGTAAAGAAGCCTCAGTGTAAACAGAAACCACCCTTCTATCTTGTTGACGGTGGTTAAAATTGGGTTAGGGAGTCAAGTCAACAGACAAGGTCTGCCTTATGCTGCTCCCTCTGCTCCTCACCCAGGGGAGGGCTGTCCACAGTGTCCCTCAGCCACTGCACAGCCCAGCACATGGCAGGGAGATTCAGTGTCAAAAGGAATACAGGGATATTTATAGCGGCTGAAAAGTCAGGAGGCACAGGTGGAACATGAGAGCAGAAAGAAGAAGGGAGAAAAATAAACCCAGAGCTTTGGGGTGTCCTACAAGGGCTGATTCTGTCAGGCTTGGGCTCCTGTGGTTTAGGGGCTGTGGGTGACCGTGACCCCAAGGGGGGGCCTGCCAACACGTACAGCTGTCCTGAGGAGTGCTTGACTGATATCTGAAGTTTTATTTTATTTAGTAGCTGCCCCAAGGCTTGTTTCTGCACATCTGTCTTTTGCACATGTGGAAGCTGAGAAAATACCATCTATGAACTAAACCCAGGGGCTAGAGGACAAGTTTGTCAAAAACAAATCTCAAAAGCAGCCTGATTTCCCTCTCCACCAGTGAGCAGGCTTTGTAAGTTTGAAAAAAGAGAGTAAAACCCAATAGAGATTGACTGTTGGAGGTAGGGGTATTCATACCATCTTAACTTGATATGTTTGTAATGAAAATATTGTTTATATCAATGCAGGGAGCTCCAAAACTGCATCAGAACCTGGGCTGGAAGAAACAGGCTGAAGAATCAGATGAGACTTGGAAGGGAAGAGTACAAGGAATAATAAAAGATGGAGACCAAGCAGTAAAGAACAACTCAGCCCAAATGAGATAAAGAGTCAAAACCATCACATTATGGCCAAGGAGATAAAAGTCATATCAGGTGTGAAAGGAACAGCAAGGCAGGTGAGAAACCTTCCAGATTTTCCCCCTCTGCTCAGGTCTCTGGTGCAATATGACATTGTCTGGGTTTGTCCTGCTACTGCCTGGAAAATATTCATCCTGCTGTGGGAAGTCCAGGAGGAAAGAAAGAGAGACCTGAGAGCTAAAACAACTCCTGAGAAAGCAGGAGAGATCTCTGAGGATGGAAAAGGTGAGGAAAAGGATACCTGAAGTGTGGAAAAGGTACAGTAAAGGGAGAGAGAGTTCTTCATGTCCAAACAAACTCCACTGGGAAGGGATGGCCTTAAAATATAGTAGGAAACACCAAGACCATTGATAAAGGTTCTGACTGGAGCAGATTATCCATGTGGTCTTTTCAAGGCACCATTCCAGGTTTTTAAGATTATTCCGGATGGCAGCTCCTAAAATGAGATCCTGCTTTGAGTGGAGGATGGACTGGAAAATGTCTTGGTGGTCCTCCCAGGTGTTTTTTCCCTGTAGTTTTCAAAGTTAAAGGAAACATTTTCATTTTCCTATAATTTTCCAAGTTAAAGGAAAAAATTTCATGTGGGACAGGCTATCCTCTCTTTGGACCAGGATGGTGCACAAGCAAGGACTGTCATTTTCCCATGGGTGATACAGATAGAGATGACCTGGCAGAAGAAGCCTAGGTAAAGGTGTGCAGAGTCATGGCAGTCATGATAAAAAATGGTCATTGTTCTTTTAAGTCTTCGTTGTTCAGGGTTTTTTTGGTTGGTTTTTGGGGGGATTTTTTTAGGTCTTTTGGCAGACAGATGAATTCTGAGGTACAGCTGCAGATGGATCCGTGGCTATTGTGTCTGAGACAAAATAGTGGGGACAACCCTTCAGAAATACTGGTAAGGAAGGGGTGATTAATGTCACAGTCATATTTTCTGGAAAAATCCCTTTGCCCACGATTCTTCTCTGGGGAAGCTGAGAAACCTCAGGGAAAAGGAAAACAGTATTATTTCATTTGCTTCTCTGGTGTTTTGCTGCTTTGGAAAGTGTTTGGAGATTGTTTACCCACAGGTGATTGTTTCATTGGTTTCATGTGAATTGTTTTGACTCACTGGCCAGTCAGGGTCAAGGTGTGTCGAGGCTCTGGAAAGAGTCACGAGCTTTCATTATTATCTTTTTAGCATTCTGTAAGTATCCTTTCTGTATTCTTTAGTCTTCTTCAGTATAGTTTAGTTTAGAATTGTTCAATATAATATAGTATCATAAAATGATAAATTAGCCTTCTGAGAGCATGGAGTCAGATTCATCATTCCTTCCTTCGTCTGGGAATCCTGCAAATACAATAATTTAGGGCATCCCCTGGGGGTGTTGCTGAGCCAGAACTGGGCACTGACTGCTGCAGAGCAGCACAGGCACAGAAAGCATCTCCTCCCCGTGCTGGACATGCAGCACCATCTGAGCACAGGCTTTGGGTGGGGAGAGGGAGACCATGGAAATTTTCTCATCTGCAGAGTCATGAAACCATCCCAGGCGTCTGAGGGCAGCTGGCCAGCTCAGCAGGCTGTGTGTGCCTTTCCAAAGACACCAGGGAAGTCAAGCTGTCCCAAAACCTTACAGCAAAACAGATGCAGGCAGCTGAGCAGCCCAGTGCTGGACAATGCTTTTGGAGATTGTTTACCCACAGGTGATTGTTTCATTGGTTTCATGTGAATTGTTTTGACTCACTGGCCAGTCAGGGTCAAGGTGTGTCGAGGCTCTGGAAAGAGTCACGAGCTTTCATTATTATCTTTTTAGCATTCTGTAAGTATCCTTTCTGTATTCTTTAGTATTCTTCAGTATAGTTTAGTTTAGAATTGTTCAATATAATATAGTATCATAAAATGATAAATTAGCCTTCTGAGAGCATGGAGTCAGATTCATCATTCCTTCCTTCGTCTGGGAATCCTGCAAATACAATAATTTAGGGCATCCCCTGGGGGTGTTGCTGAGCCAGAACTGGGCACTGACTGCTGCAGAGCAGCACAGGCACAGAAAGCATCTCCTCCCCGTGCTGGACATGCAGCACCATCTGAGCACAGGCTTTGGGTGGGGAGAGGGAGACCATGGAAATTTTCTCATCTGCAGAGTCATGAAACCATCCCAGGCGTCTGAGGGCAGCTGGCCAGCTCAGCAGGCTGTGTGTGCCTTTCCAAAGACACCAGGGAAGTCAAGCTGTCCCAAAACCTTACAGCAAAACAGATGCAGGCAGCTGAGCAGCCCAGTGCTGGACAATGCTCTCCTT